CACATACACACACACACATATACACACACATACGCACACACACGCACACATACGCACACACACATTGCGTTCGGTCTGCCAAGTTCCTTTAACTCCTTTAACACTTTTTACTCCAAACGACCCTTTTAGCGTTCGGTTTAGTCTGATTAGCGAGCCCGCCAGGCCCTGCGCGCTCTTGTTACACCTACACCCGAATAGTACTAAATGCTCGTTCCACCCACTTCCTAACCACAGCATAAGCGAGCGAAGCGAGCGCGCCCGGCCGACGTTTCAAAATTCGCCCCATTTCCTAACCACAGCATAAGCGAGCGAAGCGAGCGCGCCCGGCCGACGTTTCGAAATTCGCGCGAATTTTGAAACGTCGGCCGGGCTCGTGCTTCTTGAACATATACCATAAAAGCATGAAACGCTCGTACCACCTACTTCCTAACCATTACAGAAGCAAGCGAGCGAAGCGAGCGCGCCCGGCCGACGTTTCGAAATTCGCGCGAATTTCGAAACGTCGGCCGGGCGAGCTCTTTTTGCCCCTATACCATAAGAGCACGAAACGCTCATCCCACCCACTTCCTAACCACTACAGAAGCAAGCGAGCGAAGCAAGTGCGCCCGGCTGACGTTTCGAAATTCGCGCGAATTTCGAAACATCTGCCGGGCACGCTCTTTTTCTATCTACACCATAAGAACACTTGTCCCACTCACCTCCTAACTAAGCTAGAAGACAAAGTGATATTTTAGTAAACCATTCCAAGCGCATGCCAGTCCGTGAATATACAACAAGAAGACGAAGCAAAGACTTCTCGTAGGGTGACGGCTTCGCCATACCTAGCCATATTTAGCTACACCGACCGGCATGGACTCCAACGGCATGGACACAGCTCAAATTGAAATGAAAAGTCTCATATTCTGGTATTATCATCTGCGCATGTGTAAGCATGGAATGTTTTAGATGTAAAAAGGGTGTGTTTGCTTCTCTTGCTCTCTCCTGTGCTTGTCAGGACTCACGTGGGATGAACAGACGGTAAAAGCGCGCCCGGTCGACGTTGGCCGGGCGCACTTGCTTTGCTCGCTTTCTTCTGTAATGGTTAGGAAGTGGATGGGAAGAGCATGTCGTGCTCTTATGGTATATGTGCAAAAAGCGCGCGCCCGGCCGACGTTTCGAAATTCGCGCGAATTTCGAAACGTCGGCCGGGCGCGCTCGCTTCGCTCGCTTGTTTCTATAATGGTTAGGAAGTGAATGGTACGAGCAATTCGTGCTTTTATGGTATATGTTCAAAAAGCGCGCGCCCGGCCGACGTTTCGAAATTCGCGCGAATTTCGAAACGTCGGCCGGGCGCGCTCGCTTCGCTCGCTTGCTTCTGTAGTGGTTAAGAAGTAGGTGGTACGAGAGTTTCGTGCTTTTATGGTATATGTTCAAAAATCGCGCGCCCGGCCGACGTTTCGAAATTCGCGCGAATTTCGAAACGTCGGCCGGGCGCGCTCGCTTGCTTCTGTAATGGTTAGGAAGTGAATGGTACGAGCGTTTCGTGTTTTTATGGTATATGTTCAAAAAGCGCGCGTTCGGCCGACGTTTCGAAATTCGCGCGAATTTCGAAACATGGGTCGGGCGCGCTCGCTTTGCTCGCTTATGCTGTGGTTAGGAAGTGGGTGGAACGAGCATTCAGTACTATTAGGGTGTAGGTATAACAAGAGCGCGCAGGGCCTGGCGTTTGTTTATTACATCTACATTCAGATCTAATTCTCCATCACGTGATAAAAATTCACAACATCTCAGATGCATCCGATGTGAATTCTCAAACGCAGCATTTATAAGCTTACCACGTGATAAAATGTCAATGACAAGTTAGAAGTTTATACTTTATAAATTGACTTTTGAGACTACAAATCAACCTAAATTTGAAATCTAAACAAAAATTAAACAAACTAATCACTCTTATATTCATGATAGCATAAACAAAGGATAAATTGACCAACTTGGCTTCACAGAGCACTTACTTTCTGGCATGGAACGAACATCTCATTCACATCTCTTTTCAAATCGAGATGTAAAAAATGTAATCTGAACAGGTACATCTGGGATAAACAAACGTAGATGTACTAGATGTGTCCGATGTGGATAAAAAAAACGCTCGAGATGTAAAAAATGCATCCGATGTGGATTCTCAAACGCGGCAAAAGAAATGCCTTAAAAGTATGAAACAAGTGACGTCACAGTTAACCTTGTTGATAGTACTCTTTGGGTAAGTTCGGTTTGGAACTCGACAGATCGGACAGAGCGCGCACGGAGTGCGTGACGTCATAGACAAAGTTCGCTTTTTTTATAATTTCAAGACGAACACAAGGGGAATGACAAATAAAATTAGTGATAGTTTGCACTTGAATACACTTTTGTGTTTGTGTATGGACTGTAAAAAATAATTTTAATCAAATGGGAAATAGTTATAACAAAAACAAACAAGAAATAATACGTGTAAAAACTGATTAATCATAAGATTAGAATATTGACATTTGACATTTTTGACACATTCCGGCTGAGTTCGGTTTGGCGTTCGCTGTACTCAGAGTGCACTCGGTATGCCTTGATTGTGGTCTCCTTGACACTCAGAGCGTACTCTTTTGTGTTCGGTTTGCCACAGATCACGTACTCAGAGCCCGCTCACTCTTCCCCGAGTAGGCCGATGGAGATCAGCGGGTATCTGTAGGAATGTGTCAAAAATGTCAAATGGCAATTTTCTGATCGGTGATTAATCAGTTTTACACGTAATATTTCTTGTTTGTTTCTGTTATAACTATTTTCTATTTGATTAAAATTATTTTTTTACAGTCCATAGACACACACAAAAGTGTATTCAAGTGCAAACTATCACTAGTGTCATATGTCATTCCTCTTGTGTTCGTCTTGAGATTCTAAAAAGAGTGTACTCTGTCTATGACGTCACGCACTCCGTGCGCGCTCTGTGCGATCCGTCGAGTTCCAAAGCGAACTTACCCTCCTATAGATACTTGCTGAATGCTGATCTCCACCAGTCAACTCGGGGAAGAGTGTGCCTGCTCGGAGTACGTGATCTGTGGCAAGCCGAACACAAAAGAGTACGCTCCGAGTGCCAAAACGACCACAATTGAGGCATACCAAGTGCACTCTGAGTACAGCGAACGCCAATCCGAACTCAGCTTTTAAAGTTAGCTGGTTGACTGTCGTCATTTGTCAAACAAATAAATTCAAACAACACAAATTATATTTCAAAGTTTTCGAAAAGTATTGTTTATTATTTTATAGATGACGTAATATTAATATTTAAAAATAATGTACTACAACAATTCAATCAAAATGGATAAATAAATCATTGGGTGTGAACGAAAATAAATTAATAGAACTGATTTCTTTTTCATTGATTTTAGTTGGACACTTGGCAACACCGCACTAATTTATATTGACAGAGCATGAAAGACAATTCTAAATTTTAATGAATAAGTTTTACACAAATGATCACTTAATGATCCTCATAAGACTTTAATATGTAATTTTTTTAAAAAAACGTTAATTTATGGGGTTTCCGGTGGTATATTTGAAAAATACTCTCCTTCCTAAAGACTAAAATGTAAGTTTTGTAAAAAAAATATGTATTTTTAAGAAAAGGGGCGTCTTCGCAATAATTACCTTATTTAGAAATAAATACATTATTTTACTTACATTAGAAGCTTTAAAAAGACTTGAATTTCTATCTCCTTGTGTTTTCTTTAATTTTATATCAGATTTATATCCCGTTTTTAAACCCGGAACGAAGCAAATCCTGCTTTGCCGTTTTTTGTTACTCATTGTTACTTATGTAGTCAGGTTCTTTACTTCAGCTTATTTTTATTTTTTTTCACTAAATTTTACAAAAATCACTTTAATTCCCATTGACTTGCATAGAAAATAGACGTCGTTATTTTGCCACTCGCCAACTACAATAGCTTTTTGGAACTCCATAAAAATAGGGGACGGAAATTTGAAATTTGATCAAGGCCGATTCGCCTCCTTATCTTTAGTCTTCATAACCAGAGGATTTGACTAAATTTCTGGTAATTGGAGTAGCGTGCTTAAAATATTAAAGGTGTAATTTAACAAAGTCTCACCAAATATTAAAGAAGATAGAAAACGCCTAAGAAACCGACAAATTAAACTTTTAACAGAACAGGAATCTGTGGCTTTTACGTTTAATCATAAACTATCTACCTAATAAAAAATGACAAAATAATGACTTTGAGGTTGGACAAAACATTATTAATCATATGTGAAAGTCCAACACGGTAGCCGTTACATTTTCTCGCATTTGTGAAGCAACTAAAAAGGAGATATTCTAATTACATTAATCACTTTGGCAAGAATGTCCCATTTCACAAGAAGCTGTCTTCCTGTAAAGAGAAATAGCAATGCGATTGCCTCTGGTCTTACTCTATCTACAGTTCACCTGTCTCTTTACTCCACCTTAGTAAGACTACCTTGTTCTATACCATCGAAATAGAATAGAGACGACATAAACACTATTTTGCGATATGACAAATGGACGCACTTGAAGTGACGGATAAGTGTAATGAAAATGGCGACTTTAGTCGTACTTTGATTTATTTGAAGTCAATAAGTTTATATTTGAAGACTGACGAAATAAAAATAATTTTATATCATTTATATGAAGCTATTTAAAGAAAAATGGCATTTATTTTCACAAAAACTGACTAGCTACACTATCTCGAGTTTGACATTGACGTAAAAATATAATGCAAAGTGCGAACAATTTAGCATCGTCATAGCACCTCCTTAGTCTATCTCAATGTTCCATCAGCAGACTGGTCTAATTACTCTACTATATGTCTCAGGAGCATTTCTAACGATCATTTTAAAATTCCCAAGAACATGTTATTGCTGTTATAAACCTTTTTTTTAAACTTATAGCAATAATTCGGATAAACTAAAAACTAAAAAACTATAAAAGTAATTATTAAAACTTTTTGGTTTTTAAAACAACAAAGCTTGACGACAATTTATTACTTCCAATAAAAATATACATTTATTCATTGATTTTCACGTAGTTTTTGATGATACCTACAACAAGGTTCGTCATATAAGTTCTTTCTATAAGATTCGAGTGTTCGAGTTGTAGTAGGCAATTCACAAGGCATTTCAACTCTGGATAATGGCGAGTACGTAGTTAAGGGAGGTAAACCATAGTCGGCAGCGTCAGGAGTAATAATTCTATGTTGCAGCTGCCTACGTCTTCTTGGTGGTGTTTCAAAAGGTAATGCTGAACTAGTAACTGAAAATATATTTTAATGTTAGTGAAAATCTTTTAATTATATAATAACATGTATAATTGGGTAGGAATATTAAACAGATCTTCAAACGGAAAAAGTATAAAAGTTACTGGGGTAAACGCAGGGTTGGCAGAATTATATTTAATATGTAGCAAACTTAAGTCAATTATCCATTGTTGTGCGATATATATTGGATGACATTCCTCAAGAGCGATTCTTAGGATTTTTGTACGTCACTAGCGAACGAACTGCAGATGCATTGTTTAAAATTGTTTGCGACATTAGAATGTGGTTCTAAAGGTTAGTTTTCATCACAGCGGATGGCGGATTATTTTGTTGCGGATTTTTTCTGATTGGTTGAAAAATATTCAAAATGTGAATGGCGCGAAACATTTGCGGATATTTTAACATTTTGCGGAGACTCATTTTATGTTAAACATTTTTTAACTTTCTGGCGGTTTTGCACAGCTTTTGACAGTTGACATTACAAAAGTAAGGTTTATAGTCTCAGCTCGGGGTTCCCCTTAAAGACAAGCTATTAAGTTTGTGTTTATTTGTTGGTGGTTAAATTTTAAATTTAAAGCATGGAGGATCAAGAGATGAATTCTGACGAAGAAGAGGTAATAATGGTTTTATTGTTAAATTTTACTGCAGTAATTTTATTTCTTTTTTAAGTTGGTTGTTTGCGACACATGTGGTGTAATTAATGGGTGTGAGCATTATTACATTCAAGATAATGCTGAACGAAATCTTCAAACTGATGAGTAAGTTACCTATTCTTTCTTAATTGAAACTTACACATTTTTACATAATCTATTTTTTAGCTTCACAGAGGAAACAATATCGGAATTGTTAATCTCTTTTGTTTCATTACGTCCACCACTTTGGGACCACAGGCTCCCTTTAAGTCAAAGAACAAAATCAATAAAAGATCAGTTGTGGGTGGAGATATTAAGTGAATTTGGAGGTAATTAATTTAATATTCAATTTAAATTAATTATAATGACATAATTTATTCAAAAGTTGGAACAAATAATATGCTATAAAAACAAAATCAAATCAACAGGTAACACAGATTTAACACCTGCCATACTGCAAAAAAAATGGAAAAATCTACGAGATAAGTACATAAAAACGAAAGCAGAGTTGGATACCTATACCCCATCCGGAAGTGCGGCAAAAAAAAAGAAGGAAATCTGGAAACATTTTGATGCCATGGCATTCCTAAGGGACACAGTTGCACCTAGAACGTAATATTTTTATAATATAAAAAAATAATGTATATAATTAGTTTTGCTGTTTTAGGACCATTAGTAGCCACTCCACTGAAAGTGTGTGCCTTTTTTCTCCACCTTCAACTAGTAATGAAGGATTTGAAGTTACTCCTTCTAAACGTAAGTAATTCATGTTGAACGTTTCACTTCTTAGCTTATGCATTTGAGTACTTTGCAAAATGTAACATCTTAATGCTTGTATGTTATAGGTAAAAATAAGACTGGAAACGAAGAACAAATTGCAAGTTCCATATTACAGGCTGTGGAAAAAGTTTGTACAACTGAGAGTACCAACGTTCAACTGAACCCAATATGCCAGAGAATATCGGAATTGTTAGAAAAAATTCCTGCGAGGGAAAAAACTGAACTAGAAATTAAACTTCTGACAATAACATATGATGCTGCAAAGCAATATATGTAATATGTTTTGAGAATAAAAAATAAGTTTATAATTAGTGCATTTTATTACAAAACAAAATTATCACTCTATAACACTTTAAATAATGAAAATATTTTGTTTAACAGGTTTATAATGTATTAAAATTTTAAAAACTCCTAAAAAAATGTAACTATGTTATTTTACTTATCCCACTGAAATGGTACAGCTCCCTCAGTATAAAAATATAAAGCTAAATTTTCTCTTATTTCTTCAACGTACTGTTTGTAAGTATTGGTACTTACACGACCACTAGGAAGTAGGTTTGTGCTTTCATTTTGTCTCCATTCTCCATTATGAATATTTCCATCCTTATCTTCCCAGTCTACAAAAGTTCGTGTACAATATTTGTTACATTTTGCATCAATTAAATAATTATGTAATGCTACAACTGCTTGTACCACACTCTCAGTAGTGCTTAATGAAGCAATAATTGGCTTCCTTAATATTCTCCATCGTGCAGCTAATATACCAAATGCATTTTCACTTACTCTTCGTCCTCTACTGAGCCTAAAACGTATAAATTTCAGTACAAATAAAATGTAATGAGGTCTATTAATACCTATAATTAAATATTCGTTGGTACCCGTGGTAAGTATCTTCCTGCATAGGGTCTCATTATATTTGGTGTTAGGGGAAATGCTGCATCGCCTACCACATAGTATTGAGTAGCACTTCCTCCTGATTCTATGACTTTAGGTGGTGGCAACTTCAGTTCATTATTGCTGTTATTAAATAACTGTCTACCAATTTCCCAATTCCTAAATACACCACCATCACTTTGACGGCCTTGAGCTCCAATATTTACAGTGATAAACTTATATTTAGAATCAATCAATGCCATTAAAATGATGCTATGGGAGTTTTTATAGTTATAAAACTGGGAACCAGATTTGGCAGGAGCCTAAAATTATAAAACAAAAAATACAATAAGTTTAATAAATGTACCTTAGAAATAATATACCTGAATAATAATGTGTTTACCATCGACAGCACCTATGCATAAGGGAAGTTGCTACAAATCTTCAAACTCGCTAGCAATTTTTGTCCAGTACGGCTGATTTAATTCAGAAAATGATCTGTTTTTTAGGTTTTTCCAAATAGCTTGAGATGTTTCTCTTATAATGTGAGAAACTGTGGTCTTTCCCAATCTAAATGCATATGATATTGATACCATACTATCCCCTGACGCAAGGTACCTGTAAAGAAAAATATACAATTTAATAATTACCTATTTAAAAAATTGTTTAATATATTTACCTTAACGTGCATGCAAGTCTTTGGGCTGAATTTATAGGCTCTCTGCTTATATTCAACCTATTTATATCTGGACCAACAAGGGACAGTAATTCTTCAAACTGAATGGGTGACATTCTTAAATAGTTAAAATATTTTTCGGTGTCAGTCAATTGCATTTCTTCTAAGAGATTATGGAATGATCCTTGACCTTTTCTGTTTAAAAATATGTTTCTTACCCACCATCGTTTAGGTTGTCGTTTTCTTTTTATTATTTTGGAAAATACATAAAGTAATCCCATCAAACACACTTTACGAACTTTTGGTTTCATTTTTGGTCTGTGGCTCAATCTCACAAGGGGCTCGGTACGGAGGATTATTCTGTCCGTAGCCCCTTGTCTCAATCTCAGATTACCTGAGGGCTCAATGTATTTTATAATTTGTTTCAACATATAAAAACAATAAACAATTTTTGACATGATATTCTGTCGTTTGTCAAAAATCAAATAGGTATCTTGTAAAATAAAAATGTTACTAGAATTCCCTAAATACGCTCCGCGTTCATGAAAACGTATGTTTGGCACGATGATCAATTCCTACGCGGAATTTTATTCCGCCGTCCGCAATCCGCTGTGATGAAAACTAACCTTAAGCTTGTTGCCCAGAGCTTCGATGGTGCTGCCGTAATGACTGGCCATTTAGGAGGCCTTCAAACTAAAGTGAAAGAGAACTTTAACCATGCAATTTTCGTTCACTGTATAGCACATAGACTTAATTTAGTTTTATCTCGAAGCATAGATAATATTAAAGATTGCAAAGTTTTCTTTTCGACGCTTAGTGGTTTGGCTTCCTTCTTTTTAAAGTCATCGAAAAAAAAACTCGCGCTTTGGGCATTCACGTTCAAAAAAGGTTTCCAAAAGTTGCTCCAACGCGATGGAACTACAATATACGTTTAGTGCAAACAGTGTTTCAATACCGTGATTCTTTGATACACTCTTTTCAAGACGTTTGGGATAATAAAGAAACATGGGATGCTGTAACTGTCCCTTCGGCTAAAGGGTATTTGCATTGGCTAAAAAAAAAACTTTAATTTCAATTTTTGCTCAACATTTTTGCAGAGATTTTCTCTTTTACTGACATTTTATTCGACATTTTACAGACAAAAACAAATGACATTGGCTTTTGCATCAAACAAATTGATGATTTTAAAAATAAAATGAATAAAAAACTAGATCAGTTTTAACACTGTTGTAATTATACTCAAAACATTAGAACCTGAAAGAAAGAGAATTAGAATTGATAATGTCGGCGACAAAGAGACCTCCTATCGTCGATTATACGCCGATATTTTTAATAATATTTTACAACAAATGAACTCTCGATTTCAAAACTTTAACGATTTAAAATTTGTTGAGTTGTGCAATTTTAATATTAGTAACTACGATTCACCAAAATTTCTATCGGAAGCTTTTAATTCACTTAAATTTAATTATGGAAATTTTTTCGATATTCCAGCATTACAGTCCCAGTTAGGTGTTGTTTATGAAACAACTGAAATTAGTGATAAAAAGACGCCCATCAATGTGTTAAATTTTCTTATAACAACTGGTTTAAATAAGTCCCTTTGTAAAGTCAAGTTGTGTGAATTAGTACTAACCATCCCAGCCACAAGTGCGTCAGTTGAGCGAAGTTTTTCAGCTTTAAAGCGGATTAAAAGTTTTATACGAAATTCAACATGTGAAGACAGACTCTCTAATTTAGCCCTAATATCCATTGAAAAACAGCTTGTTAAACAGTTATCAGAAAACCCAAAATTTTAAGACGATGTTATAGACAAATTTGCAACCATTGAGGATAGGCGAATAGATCTAAAGTATAAATAAATGTCAACTGTTGTGTCAACTGTGCGAAAAATGCTGGAAAAAATAAAAAAAAATCAGTTAAATGTTTTTTTACGTTTAAATAAACCAAGGAAGCTTTTCAATGGTAAGTTTTTTATAGTTTCTAGTACTAAACTAGGTAATAAAGTAATAGTAACACTTCAAAAATCTCAATCTCGAATATCCGTAGTACTGAGGAATAAGCAGGATTTTGATAAAATGGTGAATGCGCGAAATTTTCGCCTGCGGCGCTGTGCTTACTGGCCTGCTGTATGTTTATACAATCGCTTCCCCTTCCAAAAATGTCACAGCACGCCACTGTAAACAACGGATGTGACAACAATTGGAAATTTAATTAAACCTTGACCCTGGAATAAGAAGAAACTGACCAACCTCTTAAAACTAAAAATGGTACGTTATTTTATTTAATAAGCGCCTTTTGAATAACAAAAATTAAAAGGGCAAGGTAAAAAAAGGAAATGTTACTTTCTAAAAATAAAAATTTGTATAGGACTGTTGGTTGGTTGGCAGGAATAAAAAATATAAAAAAGTTTGTTGTATGGTGTAAGCTCAGGCATTTTTTTTTAACTCCGTTTCATTATTACACCATCTCTTTTTATATATAATGATGTTACAAAACTTTGTAAGGAAAAAATAAACGGAGAAGTTGTATTAATGTCACTTGATGAATGGTCAAACGTTCATAATAAACCAATAAGTTGCTGTTCTTGTTATAAATGAATATGGTGATCGTACCTAACTAAAACTGTGGATACCTCTGGATATTCACATACAGTTACTTAAAGGAATTTGCTTCTAATGCTATTATATAGCAGGGGCAGAAATTGGAAAGGCTCTTGGTAGCTGCAGAGGTGGTAAACGTCAAACCACGTCGGACGGCTTCAAGAATTTCGCAGTAATGTTTACCTAGCAGTGTAGTTTCATAGAATAAGTAATTTTAAATTGTTACCAGCGAAACCGGACAATCGCATGTATTTATGGACTATAAATAATTATTAAACATGTACCTATTATAATCTCCAAATCATAATTCTACAAAATTTCAACAGCTATTCACAATTTATTAAAATATTTACTCGAAATTGTTATTAACATCAATAAAATAATTTTGTTAGCAAATGTATCGCGTCCACTTCGGTTAGATCCGCCGCGAACCTGTCAATTTATGTGTATAAAGCAGGAAAACTGTCAGAAGCCTTTCCAACCTCTGCATTTGCTATAAATATTGAAACATTTTTTTGTGCGAAAGTAAGAAGCATTGTGACAGATAATCCCGCAAAAATGAGAAAACTTCTAACAGTCACACCTCAAATTGATGTTATATAATGTGGTTGCTCGGCCCATATTCTCAACTTGTTGGTAGAGGATATACAGAATCAGGTCCTTAAGGAACATATAATAAAAGTAATAAATACCTACTTTAGAAACAAGCATTTACCTTAAGCCTTTAGCACAAGGAAAAATGCTTGTCCTTCCTCAAGAAGTTAGATGGAACACGAAACTGACACATTAAAATCGTACTTTGGGAATAGAGGGATTCTTATACAAGTTGGTCAAGATCATAAGGACGACATTATTCGTGATATATTCCGTATTGATATAAATATCACAGTTAATGTAAAAGAGTTTTTAAAACGTATGAAGCCGATTGCAATTGCATTGGATCGCATGCAAAGGGATGGGACTGCTATAGCCGTTGGTGTAGAAATTTGAAAAAACTAGAAAAATATTTACAAGGACAACCACGTAATGTGCTCCAACACTTTCGAACTATAAAGGAGATGGCCGTAATGACCAGCCATTATTTAGCAAATTTATGCGATCATTGCTTTAGAGGAAGCAATTTAAATAATGAAGAAAAGCATCAATAATATCAGTATTAAGAGGCTATACATCCCAATTTTATATAGTTTCCTTAATTTATGCTTGCGTCTGTTTTTCAAAGCACGCCCCCCATGACTTGGTCGGAAGGCACTTACTTTAGATTTAGATGAAAAAAAAATTTTGATTTTGATTAGAAAAATTTACAACTCACCTTTTTAGAAATATGTTCAAAGCTACTGACTGCCGGATTGGAACAAATTTTTTTCAAATTTGGACTTGTACAGTCTAAACTAAGAAATAGACTGGGAGCTGACAAAGCTGCCAAATTAACTTTTATTTTTAAATTTCTTAATTCGGACTGTTTCAAGAAAGTCACAAATTTAGGCTAGTTATTCAAGCAGCAACAAGAGCTTGTAGTTCCTGTGGCATCCTGTAGTAAATATAACATAGAAGAACAAGAACCAAACTCTAAATCAGACTGATATTCTCCTTTTTATTTTGTTATAAAATGAATTTGTAGTTCTTATTTGAAGTAAATTAGAAGTTAAAAGTAACAAACATTTTCTAAAAATAATAAATGAAACAAAGACGTATTTAAATTGTGTAATAATAAATAAAAATACAATTCCGTTATTAAATCTTTTATATTATCCTGATGATGACTTACTGTCGAAAATGCTCGACAATCTGTAAAAATCGAAGAAATATATTGATATATTTGTGTATTGTACACTTTAAATACGTCTTTCTTTTCATTCCTTATTAACCAGTCTGTTCACATCTATTACCCTCCAGAAGGATTTTTTAAATAGCAGGAATCAGAAACGTAAAGCAACAAGGTGATGAGCTTCATATTTTGTTTTTATAGAACTCCCATGCAATAAAAGTTTATAAAGTGATAACGGGTGTTTAACGTGTTTGACGCGTATGACGCAATGGAAGTTTGAAGAAGATATGTAGTGCATGTAAGTCACTACATACCTACGTGACGCGGGTAACGCAAGTGATGCAATGCAAGTGTGAAGAAGATATATTATGTAGTGCATGTAAGTCACTACAGGTTTAACAACATTTTGTGCAACAGTTATGAAATAGTGCATCGAAAAATAATTAATAAGTATAATTTAATACTAAATCGAAATCAAAGCACACAAATATAATCAAGATAACAAAAAATTGACGCCAAAAAAGCTTACAACAGCCACAAAACAAACAAAAAACAGAGCTAAACATAAACATATTCGCTGAACAAAGCCATGTGTAAGAGTGGAAGGTTGTTATCATGCATAATTTCTACACTCATGATGGATGCGCAGACGGTACCTTATCTTTCTACCCCCTCCAGTTCATTGGAAACGCAACGACCGCAGCAACGATGGCGTCATCTATGCGTCTCATGTGTTAACTAAAGGTACACGTCATTTGTAGACACTAGACACAGTAGACGAGGACAGCAGTGACCAGTTTGTAAAAATAAATGTCAGGTGTATGTTTATTGTAGAATCTTGAATTTGAATTTTAAATTTTGAGTTTATCAATAGTTTATAATGTAAGGGGACCTAGGCGAAATGGTTGTAGTTGTTTTTGTGTAGAATTTGAGGACAATAATTATATTTTGAAATATTATAATAATGAGTCTGAGCACGTATTGCATTAGTAACATATGCCACATGAATAAATTTAACAACCCCAATGTGGCGTTCTTTAATTTAGCAAAGTAAGAACTAGTCATGTAAGTAACACAAACAGTACCTAGCAACTTTTTTCACAAATTATTTATTTAATATAATTTATTGTGTTGGAGAAAAGATGTGATATAGGAATAAAAATATCTGAATTCCCATTATGGAGTTTGGAGTCAACATTTTTAAAAATGAGACACCATTGGCCACTCGTTTGGAAAATAAGAATAACAAATGTTAAACTTACAAATAACAATCAAAACGGAGTGGGTGGCTCAGTGGTAGAGTCTCTGCCTGTGGATCCAAGGGTCCCAGGTTCGAATCCCACCGTTGGCCGGAATTTTTTCATTTAATTTAATTATTTTAAATTAAATCTGATGCCTTGGTAGGATTCCCCACTCGACCATTCACTGTTGGGTTCTAATTAACAGTGCTGTTCCCAAAGTGGCGCTGGGAAACAGTAACAAATCCTACACAGAACACGAGGCGAAATAACCTTAGCAGTTGAAGCCGCCGACACAAAAAAAACAATCAAAAATTAAAAATTTTTGATTGTTTTTTAGATTTAGAATAATTAATCGATAATAGACTGTAAACTGTAAGTGTATTATTTTTTTTAATAAACAATTTAGCGTAATTAACATTGTTTAAATTTATTTACCAGAACATGAAAGTGCATATTTACAACCTTTATTATCTGGTTTTTAAATTTCCTGCTAAGCGCCACATAGTGGGACAGATGTTAACTGCGTTCGAACTGGTCGTTGTTAAACATGTGCTTCTTATAAGCGTTTTCTATCCTTATGTCCCTTATCTCTATCTGCTAAATAGTTAAATGAAACATTCCAATATAAGTATATCAAATTTTGTTATATTAAAAATTTTTGATTGTTTTTTAGATTTAGAATAATTAATCGATAATAGACTGTAAACTGTAAGTGTATTATTTTTTTTAATAAACAATTTAGCGTAATTAACATTGTTTAAATTTATTTACCAGAACATGAAAGTGCATATTTACAACCTTTATTATCTGGTTTTTAAATTTCCTGCTAAGCGCCACATAGTGGGACAGATGTTAACTGCGTTCGAACTGGTCGTTGTTAAACATGTGCTTCTTATAAGCGTTTTCTATCCTTATGTCCCTTATCTCTATCTGCTAAATAGTTAAATGAAACATTCCAATATAAGTATATCAAATTTTGTTATATATCCGATATTTCGATATTTATAATAATAATTATCATGATATTTGCCAACCCTGGATAAACGTCATAGAACAAGTACATAGGAAAATTATCTCAAGAGGATTTCGTTTGAAAATAATTACTATTTATGAATAGGAACAAGTTGAGAACTAATTACCAGATAAGATAAGATCAGAAACAAACAAACATTATGTGCGTATGCTAAGGACTGGGTACCAAGAGATAGAATAAACCAAGAATAATTAGAAAATTATCAGTCAACGACGTGTACAAACTTTTACAAGTTACGAAGGTGACAGAGTGGGTACTAGAATTAAATGGAGTAAAAAGCTGTCCAATAGGCTACATAGTGTAAGAGATATCAAACGAGCACAAGGAAAAACATTATGATGGAAGAATTAATTTTGGGAGTGAAGAACTTTAATTTCTTAAAGGTTTCTGGTGTGTTTTTTAATACAAGTATAAAATTTACCAGTCTTCATTGGTACTGATGTTTCCTGAAGTCTTTGGAATCTTTCAAGCATTCTCGGGGACATTGGTGCAGGCTGAAACCTCGACCTAAAAGTAAATAATAATAAGATAAAGGATTATGTTCTCAAATAAATGAGACGTATGTTTTTTTGCATGAGATCAGACAAGCAAGACTAGCTGATCCATTATTATTATTATTATTATTATTATTATTATACTTAAAACTGATGAATTGTAATCAGTTGATAATTTGATAATTGAAGTCTGAACAAGGAAGAGTTGATTTAAAGTAGTGTGTTCATATAAAGATTTTCAATAAGAAGGTCGTAATTTTTGCAAGATTTAATCCTTCAGGCGAATTAATTTCCAGTTTATTAAAACACAATCATCAATAAATCACAAAATCATCGGTTTCCAAACTAAATACGGAGTATTTTTCCTTTAGTCATTTGTAAATTATTTTATCAATAACAAGTCTAGGTTTTTAATAAAAATATTTATTTTATATTTAATGTAGTTAAATAGTGAGCAAAAAACAATTTAAATTGAAACAAAAATATGGCAGATAAATGCCAAAATAGAACAACATATTTTCGAGTACCTGTCTTATTATTAGTAAATATGTTTTAATTAGCATTTTGGTGCTTTAGGTACAGAGAAACAATATAGATAAAAATATTGAAAATTATTGATTAATTAATAGTAGTTTATATTATTGTGTTACGTTTATATGAGGTGTTAAAAAATAAAATGACTGATTAGTAGTTTACATTATTATATAGCATAATAAGACCTTAAATAAAACAGGAAACATGAACTTAAATAATGAAAAAAACCTTGAAGAGCTTTAACGTTAAGAAATATAAACCTTAAGGTGATTACAGCACCCCCTTATAATTTTGAGACAAGGATATCTCAAAAAGTAATTTTTTTAAAAAATTTAAATTTTGGCAAAATATATTAGGCAATAATATCTAAAATATGCATATATTTTAAAATTTTAATTTCATCCAGTTTCCGAGAAAAAAAATCAAAGGGCTTTAAATTTTGAAATATCATAATGAAAATAAATGCATTTCTCAACAGCACTATTCTTAATATAATTTCCAAATTTAAGCTCTTAATATCTTGTTAATGATTTTTTAAAATTCGCCGAAATTAGTGCCTAAAACGCCTCGTTAAGTGCTTCTTTCTAGTGTAACGCGTCTGTAACTATTGTTTCGTACACTCTGAGTCATCATTCGTTTCTTGCAATGATTTACACTAGTTTACACCAGTTTAAACCAGAAAATAGCACTTAACGAGGCGTTTTAGCTACTAATTTCGGCGAATTTTAAAAAATAATTAACAAGAGATTAAGAGCTTAAATTTAGGGATTGTATTAAGAATAGTGTTGTTGAGGAATGTATTTATTTTCATTATGATATTTCAAAATTTAAAGCCCTTTGATTTTGTTTTCTCGGAAACTGAAAGGAATTAAAACTTTAAAAAATATGCATATTCTAGATATTATTGCCTTATTTATGTTGCCGAAATTTAAGTTTTCTAAAAACATTACTTTTTGAAATATCCTTGTCCAAAAATTATAAGGGGGTGCTGTAATCACCTTAATCACAATCAACCAAAATAACAAATTACTAATAAAATTAGCTTTCAAATGAAATGTCACATTTTACAATAGTGTATATCCAGCCAGGCCAGAGGTCGCTAAAATCAAAAGTAAAGCAATGAACAATCATACTGCTGATGTCTTCATAAAATTACCTTCTGAATGATGGCACTTTCTCTATTAGGCATTTCAACGATATGTTAAACAATAGCTGCCGGTGGGCAGGACTTGTATATACAAGGGGTTTGCGACATACCCTTCCATCTTGAACGCTAATTTTTATTCAAAATAGTAGTTGCCAAGTCTGTCAATTTATGAAAAATATGTATACGGGGTTTTAAAGAATATGTTCATTGTGTTGGACATAAATTATATTTAATTTTAATTTATTATTCATGATTTCACATGTTTTAGATATAATACATCGTATATTGCAACCCTTCTCACCAGTCCTGGATTTGTCAATAGGCCGTATAGGCCGCGGCCTAGGAGCGGAAGCGTCCTAGGGGCGGCAGATTTCAGAGGACGTTTACTCGATTTCAGAGGATAAAAGTTAAACAAGTTTACTGTTTTTCTGATGGTTTTTTATACTAATTTGTTAAATCCCTATAGAAACTCATTCCTATCAAAAATTATCAAACCTGGGTAGCTACTGTTATTGTACCTATTTTATCAATATTACGACGATTTGGTTCAAAAATGTGGGCATTTTCATAGTCACATTTCTTCTAATAAAACTACAAAGTGTGCAGTGAAGCCTGGATCAAACTCTCAAACTTCTCAACGTTTTTGAGAAATCAATCTCTGCCTAATGTTTACCCTAACTTGTTTCTTATTTACGCTCTTCCTTAATGACTAATTCATTCGTTTATTTACCTTTAGTGCCTTCCTTACTACGAATGGAAAATTATTATTTTAGAAAGGTACATGGGGCAGTGGAAATAAAGTGGCCTACACTCATAAAAAATATAAATTTGGCACTGCTTCTCACCGACAGCTATTTTGTTTAGAATTCCTAATTTAAATTTAATTAGTGAGAATAATGAAGGGGAGAGAATAACGTATGATAATTGAGGAAATGATAGCAAGATCTGTTAATTTACTTAAACATTTAAGGGTATAAGTGTTTATCCCAAAATATTAGCGCAGTTCTCTATAATGGCTTTTTGTCAAGCGAATAATTAAAACTATCAATTTTTCTGAGCAGGACTGTTTTTTTATTTTTAAAATAAAAGTAAATTGTAGTTCTAAAGATTTTCAACTTCGCGGGGTTTAAACTTTTACTGTAACTTTCATACTCAGGTGGTTAAGTAATTTCTTATTCTTGATGTTTATTATTCCAACGTCCTGTCTAAATGGTGGCCTGAATTTGACAGGATAGGGTACGTGTTTTATGTTTTGACACAAACATTTGTTTACTAATCTGTCAAATTGTTTTTGTACATAATTATTTATAACAATTAGGCATTCCAACGACTTGTCAAAACGCTGAAAAGTGGGAATTGACAGTTTAGATATGGCAACACTGTAGCCTGCTGTCATTGACAGGGTCAATGATACATATATAGTGCTATATATTGCTTAAAGCGGATCGTTTCGTGAGCAGCCATATTGCCTCCTAAGAGCTCATTAGTTAGAATCAGTTTAGCAAAAAGTGTTTTAAAACCAATTTTCTGCCTTTGAATATAGTAAAAAAAATAATTATCTACATTTTTACTTCAAGGCATAAGCTTATGTTTATTTCGAAAAACAGTAAGTCTTTATCATTGACCCTGTCAAATAACCAGGCCCACAAGGTTGCCATATCATAACCACATCATAACCTGTCAAAACCCTCTGGCAGCCATTTTGTTTGGAATGCCTAATAACTTTGTGCTTCGAGGGTGGATTTTGAAAAAATACGATGTAGTGTATCATTTTATTAATAGTTTTACTCTTAATGTCACATAAAATCTAAAGTTGCTCGTTTTACGAGAAGACATTTTTTAAATTAAAGTACTAGAAGTAAAAGTTTTGTAACAAAAAGAACATAAATGGCAATCAAACACATATCAACTAAATCACAAAACACTGATCTCAATGTCAAATTGGAATTTGATCCATATCACGGTGTAACTATAGTCCGTAAAAACATTTTTTTTTTGCTAATGATTCGACAGTTCGTTCAATTTTAGGCCATTTGCAATGAAAGAATTAGGCCAATTTCTTCAATTTTTTCCAAAAGTTATAAATTTACCTACCTTTTATCCTCTGACATTCCACGAAATACCACTTTACAGTATAAATATTTTACCTGTCAGCTGGTGATCCAGTGGGAGAAGGTGGAAACTCCATAGCATCTATATCTGTACCAAACAGATCGCCTTCTTCTTCTGCCGACTCTGCCATACGTCTAAAATATTCATCGCCTCTACGAGGAAATTGGATACCCCTGGCAGGAAATTCGAACCCTCCAGGACGAACGTCAAATTCTCTAGCAGGACTTTCAGCCCTTCTAGGTGGAGTTTGGATGCTTCTTGGGGGAAATTCAACTCTTCCAGGATGAATTTTGATATCTCTAGAAACTTCAGTTTGATGTAACATTGGTGGAGGATGAATTGGTTCGGTCTGTGTCCCAAAATATTCATCTTGATCTGTCCTTACTGTAGAAGATGGAGATCCTGAGTACATAGAAAAATATTCATCATCTGCTGGAATGTTTTCAATATGAGGTTGTATCCTTTCGACAAATCGATCCGGACCATGCTGCGCGTAAAAATCTTCGTAATCGGCATCTCTAGGAGGAGAAAATTCTACACCTTCAAAGGGGGCTTCGGCTGTGTCGAGCATTTGGGAAGTAAAAGGCATATGGTAAAAGGGAGGTGTAGTTGGTAGGGGTCTTTCTGGTGAATCCCATCCGGGTATCTACAATTAATCAATACAGTTTGCAACATTAATCAAAACATACCAAGTTACGACAAAATGGTAGCGCTGTGTAGAACCCAATAACTCCGCTTGGTAGCTTGGTAGATTCAAGCTAGTCAAATTTTTAAATGGTTTCAATAAATTTATTTAATAGCTGATCCCTTTTCTGTTTGAATTCAAATGGAATGATGAATCGAATGTTTCATAACTTTGGCAATATTTTGTCGCAAAAACAGTTTAACCTGAATAAAAAGGCATAATTTTCATTACCTTGGATCAATCTTTGAGTGTTGAAAGTAGAACATTAAGTACCGGGAACTACAGCTATTCCATTTTTTGGGATATTGTTTTATCAAAGATGGGATAGAATGTACCCAGCTAACACATAACGTTGCCCAGCCTTTCGGCGATGTTGTTTTAAGGGAACGTAATAACATTACTATACAACGTAAATGCAACATTCATGAGAAGTTGTTGAGGGAAATCAAAACCTCGCAAAACTTCTATGTGTTACTTACGTATTTAACCTACCTGTTATGATGCAAATAAAGTATGCACATTAGTTCTAATTGATTATTCACGTGCATTTGACACATTGAACCACAAACTTCTATTAGCAATTTTGCATTTTATTCGTCTCAGCCATTTGTCGATCAAAATTATAACTTCGTATCTAACAAACCGGGTTCAACAGGTGGTTCTTAACAACACTTTCTCTAATTGTTTGTTAGTCAGAAAAGGTGTTCCTCAGGGCAGCATTCTTGGCCCATTACTGTACACCCTTCTGTACTGTACATCCTTCTTACATTCACATCTAAATCATTGTAAGAGCCATTTATATGCTGATGATACACAAATTTATTATTCTTTTGAACTGTCTAAAATTGAAGAGTCGGTCAGGCGTATTAATGACGATCTCTCTATTCTTGTAAGTGCACCTGAAAAACACTCATTGCATATCAACTCAACAAAATGTTATGTTATTGTATTTTGCAGTGAAAATAACCGACAGCTGATCTTGCCACAAATACAAATCACCTTAGGGAATGAAATTTTAAAAATTAGTTCCTCGTGTAAAAATCTTGGTTTGACTATTGACTCTCAATTAAGGTTCGATAAACATATTAACGAGAAGGTTAGGAAAGCCTACTCTTCCCTAAAACTAATTTATCCACATAGAACAGATTTGTCTACTGCAACTAAACAAATGCTTACTGACTCTCTTGTTTTATCGCACTTTAATCATTGCGACACTGTATATGGTTCTTTTTTACGACTAATTGATAAGAATCGAATTCAAAAAGTACAAAATAGTTGTTTAAGGATGATCTATGGCATAAGGAGAAGGGAGGGGATTTCTTATAAATTAAAAGAGGCGAATTGGCTGAACATGTTTAATCGTCGGAAACTTCATTCTCTCTGTTTATTTTATAAAATAGTTAAGACCAAAATTCCCTCATACTTACATCAAAAGATAAGTTTTCGAACCGACGTCCATCATATTAATTTAAGGAAAAAGCATGCCATTACCATTCCATCTCATAATAAACAAATATTCAAAAAATCATTTAGCTACCAAATTGCATTGAACAGTCATCTTCTTGATATACCAAATTTCAGTCTTTCATCAACACCTTTTAAAAATAAATACAAACAAATATTTTTACGCGAACAGACATTTTAAATTTTAAGTTTTTTTTGTGATTTTTAATATTTATTAATATAGATTAAGGTTCCTTTCACTAGTTAATTATTCTTTTAACTATATTTTTGAATTAATCTAGATATGTATATGTATTTTGACTCTTTATTTTACTTATTTATTTTTTTCAAGGCGAGTGAGGTAGAATTGGTCTTATGACCTATCACTCGACCTTTTATTTGCCTAATTAGTGTATTTAGTGTATTTTTGTTTTTTTTTATATTTTGTATTTTTGTATATCTTTTATTGGCAAATAATAAACTATTATTATTATTATTATTATTATTATTATTATTATTATTATTATTATTATTATTATTATTATTATAACACAAAATAAATCATTGTAAACGATACCATTAAATACCTGCCTACATTTTACACGATAATAGGGATCTTATCGATGCCTCGATACTATAGAAGTAACCATATTAAATAATGAAAGAAGAAGTTTGGCCCTTCAAATGCAAGTTAATTATCACTTTCCTTATTTCGTAAGAAACATCTTTAACGCGAGCCATTTCTAGTTGTTAACAACAACACCAATGTACGAAAGTTAATTAAAACGTCAAAATCGGCTTCTTAGCAAAGTAAAATATTGTCATTTGTTTTACAAAGCCTGCCTTGATTTTATTGAATCCGATAAACCGACTACTCAACTTAAGTTGTCTTCATCATGTATTTTGCCAAACACAAATCATTTTACAAATAAAACAATTTCGAAATAAAAACTCTTTAAAAATAGCTACGCTGATTTTATTATATTTCCATAAACATTTAAACAAACCAAAAATATTATATTTTAACAAAATTTTAATTTTCCCTAAGATAAATTTACAAATACATATTATGTTTTGTGGGGTTGGGCCAACTTCACTGAGACAGGACTCGTATATTTTTTATATATCCCTGTTATAAACTGTAATAGTCTTTTGAGATTATAGTAATAGTAATAATAGTTCAACATCTAATACATATTTGACATATGTATCTTTATGACACCGTGCTAGGTTTGATAACTCGATTTTTAAAATTGGTTCATTGAATTTAATATTTTTCTTAGTAAGCCAATCTGCAATCTGGGCTTTTCTCCATTTGGTGTTTGGTAACTGTTCTACACGCTGGCTGTGGTATGAAGCGTTATCCATAACAATAACAGGTTCGACTTTTAAAAGAATATCTGAAAACAACTCCGGTCTCTGCTGATGAAATTTCTATTAGCGTACCTATGACACCGCTTCAACGATAACATCCAAGCCAGATTCAAATACGTTGTTGCCAATAACGTCGCTTTAATCTTCGACTACATTGTGGATCTCGTACATTATCTACCGTTAGATAAAGATGCAAACTACACGCTGGCAACGTTCCATTTTACCAATCGCCGAAGACGTTTGAACAGTTTAAAAATAGACTAGCCAAATTATTAAAATTATTTCAACAAAATGATATCTGTTCTGAAGGCAAATAAAAAATAAATGAATTAGTTATTCAAAAAATGTATAAAGATAGCGATCTTCTCAATTTTTTTTGAAACTATCTGTACGTATGATCTTTGAAGACTGAGTAGAAGAAAAAGGTTTTAGTAGAAGAAGAAGAAGAAGAAGAAGAAGAAGAAGAAGAAGAAGAAGAAGAAGAAGAAGAAGAAGAAGAAGAAGAAGAAGAAGAAGAAGAAGAAGAAGAAGAAGAAGAAGAAGAAGAAGAAGAAGAAGAAGAAGAAGAAGAAGAAGAAGAAGAAGAAGAAGAAGAAGAAGAAGAAGAAGAAGAAGAAGAAGAAGAAGAAGAAGAAGAAGAAGAAGAAGAAGAAGAAGAAGAAGAAGAAGAAGAAGAAGAAGAAGAAGAAGAAGAAGAAGAAGAAGAAGAAGAAGAAGAAGGAGAAGAAGAAGAAGAAGGTTTTTGTAAAGAACCCCGCACAAATCTTATGGAAATTGGCTCCCGGTCAAATTAGCTGAAATTTAGATATGTTGTTCGTTTCGGTATCCTGAATAAAAATCTCAATGGACACACAGCTTAATTATGCTTATTTTGGCACCTACGGAGCTCCAAAGCTCCACGGATTGACCATTATTTACTACTTAAAAAGGCAATCTCCTCGAAAGTTTAGTATTTGCTGCGGTACCTTCTTATGTTTTTGGGGTCGCTGCATTCAAATCCAATGCCAATATAATAATATTGACAGTTGACAGCTGTCAGACAACAAGCAGTAATCAAAATTGATAAAATCCACATGTAAATATCTGTTTTTGAGGTCCAAAGAGACGCAGATGAAGAGTTTCAGTTGGAAATGCGTGATCATTTTTCCTAAACTATTCCTAAAGTAGGACGATATATATCGTCCTGTATTATAAATAGGTTGATAAAAAATATCGTGAAATCATAGATCCAATAAAACAATCGGTCCTTTTCGGGTAACGCTAACGCTGACGGTAGAAATATATATAAATATTATGGTGGTTTGACAGTTATTTGACAACTGTCAATATCGAGTTGTTAACATCTGTTTTGAACTCAGCTGCCTTAAAAACATATATTTACATGTGGATTTTATTAATTTTGATTGTCACATGCTGTTTGAGAGTAAGTTGACAACTGTTCACTGTCAATATCGTCTTTTTGACATTAGTTTTGAACTCAGCAACCTCGAAGACATCTATTTACTCCTAAATTTTGTCAATTTTGATTTTTACATACTATTTGACAGTTAGTTGACAACTGTCAACTGTCAATATCGAGTTGTTAACATTAGTTTTAAACTTCCTAACTTTAAAAACAGATATTTACACATGGATTTTATTAATTTTGATTACTGCTTGTTGTTTGACAGCTGTCAACTGTCAATATTATTATATTGGCATTGGATTTAAATGCAGCGACCCCGAAAACATAAGTAGGTACTTCTTTTTTAACGCAGCAAATACTGAACTTTCGAGGAGATTGCCTTTTTAAGTAATTAATAATGGTCAATCCGTGGAGCTTTGGAGCTCCGTAGGAGCCAAAATAAGCAAAATTGAGCTTTGTGCCCATTAAAACTTTTGCTCAGGATGCCAAAACGAACAACATATCCAAATTTCAGCCAATTTGACCGGGAGCCAATTTCCATAAAATTTGTGCGGGGTTCTTTGCATGAGATTAAATAAATTTTGCAATACCCATTAATTTGTTTATTAATTATTACTAAATATGTTTCTTTTTGTTAGTATTCAAAATATCAACAACTATTAAAAATAATTTTTTTTGTACAGGGTAAACGTCTAATTTGATTGGCCTATAAAATTTCTTTACAACATGAGTCACTACCTACAATTGCGGCATTCTACTGTATACTTGCAAAAATATTTAATTTAAATTTTTAAAAAAAGTATTTTTTCATAATTTCTCAACGTTAAGCGTATTTATTTAACAAGCAAAAAAAATTATGAAGTACTTTTTTAAAATTTAAAATAAATATCTAAGTATTGTTAGGTTCATCCGTGGACACACTGTTTAATGCTGTAGAATGAATTAACATTATAACATCTATAAAACGTTTCAGAGCAACTTTCGGAGGAAGTACCGTAAAAGTGCTAGTGTGATATGTTCCGAACTTCACTTTGTAACCTCTACGATACGTTTTATAAAAATTTTGTCATTCCGGACATTCGGCGGTTACATGGCTATTAGAGTTACATTAAAAGTACATTTTCTGCGAACTTAAAGAGCCTAAAATAGCAGCTTATTAACGTAGATGGGATGTTTTTGTACTATCTGGGTAATTATATATCATTACACGTTTTGAATTTTAAAGAAGAACCAGAACTTGGGTGTAGCTCTTGTGAAACACCAGGATAGTAACAAGCACTAAGGATTACAGTATTTTCAAGCTTGAACCATAGTGCAAGACTGGAATGAGGAAGTCGAAGAATAAAAAAATACTTAGAAAATGTGTTTTATTTTCATTACTTACCTCTCCTGTTCGTGGAGGTGTCACTACTGCACCTATTGGCATTTCTTCAGGAGGTAGTGGTGGTAAATCTGGATGACGAGCCAAGGAATTGGCTATAAAAGTATCAGTATCCGCTTCTATATCACCAAAATCTAGTCTTCTTCGAATTAGACCACGCGGGCTTTGACGTTGTACTGCAGGTTGAGCTCGGCGTCCCAGAGAGTTTTCAATACGCGCGGAGGCCAATTCTGCCCTTTCTAAAGCTCTATGTAAATCACTTATGAGACGTCGAGTGTTTTCTTTTTGCGTCTCCATCCAAGCTCGATAACCATAACCAGTAGGAGCTTCTCTGCTATAATCAACTAAAAAAAGAAAACACAGTTAAAAACATTATATTAACGTAATTTATTTGATTTGAATAGACAGAAGCTAATAGACAGAAGTTTAATAGGTTATCATCGCCATTAGCGCCGTAGACACCTAGAATCATATATATTTCGTCCTCACGTAAATCTGCTATGCGCCACCACTATATTCGTGTTATCATCTTCCAATTCATTATCTATTTATATAAAATAATTTCGAATAAGACCTGGACTTAAGTGTGATCCTAAAAAGATAGAAGCAGAGTAGCCGAAAGGAGCAGTGTTTGTGTAATGTGTATATTTGTTCAATATACATTTTGTAGATAGTTTGGTTAAAAAAGAGAAAGCAAGTAAAGACAAAATCAATAGATAGAACCCGTAAACCAGTGGCGTCTCGTGAGGTAATGCCACTGTGCCATGGCACTACCTTATTTTTGATGCAAAAATATAGTTTTTATTTTTAAAACTTCTTATCATATTTTTATTTTATTTTATGCATTTATATTCAAAAATTATTTGAAATGTGACAACCTCGCGCTGCATACATCTCCAAGCTCTTGCCGCGTACCGGAGCCATTTCTCAGCTGGAACTAGGGGGAGAGAGAGAGAGAATTTACCAGCAGCCTATGTGAGCAACACAGATGGGAACATTTTACATGTATTTAATAGGGAATATCAAGGAATGTTCGTGCCAGGCACAGCGCCGATAGCTGTTCAAATAATCGCGGTTTCTCGATAATGTCGATTGTTGACCGAATTAACCGAATTTCTTTACGCGCTTTAAGTTTTTCGTTACGTTACGAAGTATGAGTGATGTTAATGTGTGTCTTTTTGTTTTCGATAAATTTGTTTAAATATCTTATTGTCTAGTTTTTAATTTATTGTGACAATGAATAAAATTGGCTTCTCAAAAAACTCTTTTAGTGATTTTTCGCTAGAAGAAAAACTACAAATTAAAGAATTAGGCCGGCCAGTTCCCGATTTAAAAATTGAAAAACAAAGTGGAAGTGGGCAAAAATCGCGGTGTCGTAAATTTAATAAAACTATTTATGATAAAAATAATTGGTTGTGTGGTTGCGAAGAAAATAATAAACTGTTTTGTTTTGTATGTGTTTTGTTTGGAGGTGACGAGACTTGGTCCAAAAAAGGCACAAACGATCTTGTCCATGTATGGTATAAAATGAAATCCCATGAAAAATCTAAAGTGCACATGAATAATCATAGGCGCCGGAACTCAAAAATTGCTTTGGGTGTCCTGCCTCTAAGCGGGAAATGGGGGCTCCTTCCCCCCTTTACACCCCACTTAGGGTCACCTCCGGTTTTTTAAAAGCACTATAGATGCCATTTTAAAGCGTTAATTTTATTTTATAAAATTTTTTTTAAAAAAAAGGTGTTGCCAAATGTCGAATTGCTGGAGTTTTGAAGATTGACGCGGCTGACGGGAGTATTAACAATTGGTAGATCCGAGACTTCCCCCTAAATCGGGATATCTGGCAACCCTATATGATCGGTGCAGTCACCACTGGTATTCAGTGGTGTTGCAGTGGTAGAGTACCAATGAAATAATTAGAAACACAATTTAAACAATTATTAACTATCACGAATTTAGAAGCAGATTTTTGATGATTTATTAATACACATATTGTCACGTTCAGCGTGTTTTTTATAAAAAATGTTACGATTCACGTGCTTTTTGATAATTATGGGACTATTTATGTCCCGGGGGTTAAATAAGAAAATATATGAATTCGGGCCTCAAACACATAAATACTATTTTGCCATAAACTTGGCTTCGTAGCCCTTAACTGTAGAAGGGTTCTACTCTCGATATCAGAACCTAACTTAAGGGCTGAAGGAAACAAAGTGTTCTCAAAACGAATATAATTTAGAATAATTATACAGAACTATGTCGCAACTAGACATAGAGTAAAACAAACTTAAGTTTGGTACACCCACGTGTCGATCCGATGGTTGCGCCGTAGATTTGTTGACTATCGTTACCATGCCAACCTCTAACACGGCGATGGCCAGTACCGTAGCGTAAAGAGGGGAATAGGTGAAACAATTTGCATCTAACAGCGCTGTGGTAGTGCTCTTTTTTATTCCAGTGGTGTATTTCCGTATTCTTATTTTTTAATTTAGTGCCGTAGTAGTTATAATAGAGTAGCAATAATAGTTAGTGTATAAGTTTAGTTATAGTATCTACATAGTTAATTTAGAAATAAAAGTGATTTGGACGATATGGCTCCGAAAAAAATTGGCAGAAGGGGACAGGGATTACGCAGTCAAACAAAAGAAATCATTAATAATATTTCGAAATTTATAGAAGAAGAAGCGGCCCACTTCAATGCTACCAAGGACGTATTGATACCTTTAAAGAATTTTAGGTGAGTATTTTTAATTACATAATAATATTTTAATTATGTGGAACTATACAGATACGATACCATTGTGAAATTAAAAAAATGTTTATGCTCCTTCTGTATTGACATAATTTCACAGAGTACCTATAGGCTGAAACAATCAATTCTAACAATAATCATTCATTTAAAATGCGTTTCTTTAAAATACTCTATACCTGCAGGCAGTGGGTTATTGTATTTTATATTGTAACATTTCGTGTTTGGTTGTGCTATTTACTTTTTGGACAATAAAAAGAAGTAAACAAATATTAAAATAGTAAAAATAAAATAAGATTTACAATATATTTTCAGAGAACGGATTTTAGCAGCGACAGGTGTAAGTAAAAACACCCTTCAGAAAATAAGGAAAGAATGGGGAGAATTAAACAGAAATATAGCCTATTCGTCGTGTCAAAAAAATTAAGTTAAGCCCTGGAGAAACATAAACACTTAAAAATGTAATCTATGACTTTTACACCATCGAGAAAAGATCACATACACTTGCAGGATACCTATTCTCTAACTCATGGGAGCACTCCCACACTCCCATGCTCCCATACTCCCATGCCAACGTTGCCAAGTCGACAGAATAACTTTGATCTACTATTTAAGGACCGATCCACAACGAAGTTTAAAATGACATTTTTACATTAACAATGTCATTTTAATCTCCGTTTAACTCAACGGTGGAATCAGCCCTTAGTAATTCAAATTTGCTTTGTGATAAATACGGACCTAATCTGGCAAGCCCGCAATTCTCCCTCCCATAGTATAAAATCTGACCTTACTACGCATGTACCTGGGCTAAAAGTGAGTAAGCACGATATACCCACCTAAGAGTAAGAGAGCAAAATATATGGGAGCACTCCCATGGGAGCGCTCCCATGACTTAGTGAATAGCTATCCTGGTATATAAATGTTCGTTCCCAAACATTTTAAGTACCTACTTCTATTTATTCGAGGTATTATGCAAAATATGAAGGACAAACAAATGGAATTTCCAGGGTCAATTGAGACATTAAGGAAAACAATAAACGAGTTAGGATTCAGGTGCTTATACTTTTAACGATCTACCATTCCGCTAATTTACGGTACTTATTTACAATATACAATAAATTAGGACAAAGCCTTTTTGCGTATTCTTCAAATATTTTATAACATATTACAGGTGGCGAAAAACAGAAGATAATCGGAGTGTCCTGATAGAAAACCATGATATTCGAATAAAAAGAATTGAATATTTGAAGAAGCTACTACAATATAGATCTGAGGGTAGACCAATAGTGTATACTTGCTTATGCTAATTTTTTATAAAGTACCTATTGCTACGTAGGTATATACATGTACTTTATTGCAGTTAACAAGTTTTCCAAAACTACATTTTATGACAAACTTACAATAATTTAAAATATACGCTCCGTAAGTTAGGTTGTTTAGTGGATACAATTAAGTATACTTAGTAACCTGCATGTGTATTCTAAATTAAAAAAGCATAACAACTTACGTACCTATTGTACAAAGCAAATTAATTACCTTTCGAATTTTGATAATTACATGCATAAAAAAGTATTTCTATTTTTCCACTTATTTTCGTCCCCCGCCACTGATAAACAAAGCCCGCCTAGATGCGCAGATTAGTATGCAACTAACATTTGCTGTCCCAAACTTAAGTTTGTTCTACTCTACAAAGATATGGGCTAAAACTATAATAAATATCTTAAAAAACAAATTAACTTACCAACACCAATTTTTGGGGACACGTCACAACTTTTGACTCAAGTCAATACCGCGATTCAAAATAAAAGTACAAAAAAAAGACTTTTAGTCTAAACTATAGAGATCCTGAGCTGGAGCTGCTACTGGGAATCTCCTACAAGGGGAGCCTCCTATGGGGAGGATAGTTCCCTGTGGATAGATACAGTGTGGCGATTTATAAACGAAAAAGTCAATTTTGGGAATCCCAGGTCATTTATGAAAAAACGCTGGGACCCTTCAATTTTTAATTTTAAGGGGAAACATTTGCTGGCCAGTTTCACTCACTCAACGGAAACCCTCTAGCAGGGGTGAAACTTACCCCTAAAATCTTCAATGAAAAGAGGGGTCAAGTGATATTTTATTTTGAAAGTATTTTTACCTAGATTATAACCCTAGAGTTTTAAATCGATACTGTCTTTCTAGAAATTATCTTTCAATGATTTTTATTTTCTGTAAATGCTTACCTACCATTTACTCGAGTAAATGCTGACCCTAAGCCTCCATGCATTAATAGAGGTCTGTTTAAAACGGACCGGACATTTTCAAGCATCTGTGGGGGTGATTTGATGACATTCATCAATTATCCGTTGTCGCAGATTTTCCAGTAATGTTGGCTGGGTGGCATAAATTTTAGTTTTTAAGTAGCCCCATAAAAAACTAACAGGGTCATATCCGGAGACCGTGTTGGCCATTTAATACTTCCTCTTCTTCCGATCCATTCTGAAAATGTTTGATCCAAATACTGACGAACAGTCATTGCAAAATGAGGTTAGCTGTGACGACTTACTGTACCATTTAGGAAAAAATTGTATTCGTTAGAAAAACACACCTTGAAAAAAAAATTGCTGATCATTTTTTGTCCGTTCAGTCATAATTTCACAAAATTGTAATCGCCTATCACAAACGTCTTCGTTAAGTTCTTGTACCAGATGAATTTGGTAGAGATGAAACCTAATTTTTTTTGTCACTATCTTCTGAATGCTACTTCTCTTAATACCAGATGTTATCGCCAACTATCTTGAACACAATGTGGGTTCTTGAACAACATACCCTAAAATCGTCATCTCTGTGGCTTCATTTACGTTTTTTGTTAGCTTCTGACCCCGTTTTCCAAAATTTTTGGACTAACTGCAAAATATACTTTCGATGGACTTGTTGATTTTGATGTTGATTTTTAAACAGTTGGGCAGTTCCATTAGCATATTCATTGTTCACAAAAAAGTGAAATTATTTACACCCTCTCAGCAAATGAGTAAACCATTATCACTGATATAATACGTTTACATCGACTCTACAACAAAATAAACTAAACCTTACTACTTTATGGCGACTAAAGCATGTCATCTGATAACAATAATTTAATGCACTTAGTACTTTAGGTATGTTGTCAGCAGAAAAAAATTTTGTAAATGGAATTAAAAATTTTAATAATAAAGTAATTAAAAACTTTGCAACCAAAACAGAAAGAAGAATGGACTTCATTTATCGGAAACTTTATTAAAACTAGTATATCAAGCAAATTTGTGCGCGTGTGTAAATACTGTAAATAGGTATAGTTTTATTATTGTGATTTTTTGGTATATGAACCTAAAGACTTTTATGGTTATAACAAACTGCAAGGACTTTCATCATTAATTACTGGGGGTAAGTTAATTTTTAATTAATTTTACAGGGTTTTGAGTAACTTATTGGCAAAGTTTAGAATAAGATTAACCGTAACGGCCTGTTTCGTGGTAAAACTTGTGTTAGAAACCTCATAAATAGTAGTCATAAAATAGATATAAAAGTATCCATCCTCGATTTATTTTTTAATTAAAATTTGGACGTGGCACCCCAAAAAATGTTTCGCCTCTGGTGGGGGTCCTTCGACAGGGCGCATCCGGCAAGGTTTTCACATTTGCTAAAAATCTGGCACTACCATCTCGTATTATCACGAGCCGCCACTGTCATAAACGAGAAAATAGTGAAACCAATTAAGTTATTAAGTGTCGGAAAAATAAAAAGGAAGACAGCAAATATAAGATTGATGACGATAAGAAGTATTACAAAAGGATAAAGAATTAAACATGTCCTTAGTAAAAGTAACTAAAGCTACAGAAGGGCATATGATTCAGAAAGTAAAAAAGATGTACCTGTATCAAGTTGGGGCGGACTCTCAAAAAATATACCAGGAGGGGACTCATATGTTGGTGGAGCATAACCTCTAGCAAATTCTAGCATTGTATCATCATCAGCAAACGGTTCTGGACTATCAGGAGTCATTTGTAAAGCATGCCCATACAATCTATATTTTAATATATTTTAGTAAACGATATTAATCTTTAAGGCCGATCCTTGAGAAATACCCGACGCGGCGCATGAAAAGCTGAAGGAACGTTTATCTAAAGCAACTTTTTGGTAACGGTTTCTAAGGTAACATTTGAAAAATCTCAACGAGATGTTATTAAAATTATATTTAAGTTTGGTCAAGGGTATAATTGTACAGCAGATGTTGCAAATCCCATATCTAGTGATCTAATTATTCGTATTTATTTTTATAAAAATATCTCTATAAACTCACCTTTCATCTACATGTTCTTCGATTGGGACTGTCGATAATTGTGGTGGAATGTATTTCCTTGGCAATTTCTTACTCCTTCCGGCAGTTTTTCCAACGACTATTCTTTTCTGCATTGCAGGCCTCTCACGATCCAAGAATCTTTGATTAATCTGGTGTTGCCGTACTGCTTCAGTCAAATTTTCATCCGGAGAAGGCCACTGTTGATACTCCGAGGAAATAGGAGGAAAAAACATTTGCCCCGTAGGTCTTTGAGGAGATTTATGTGATCTTGGTGTTTGTAGATGCGATAGGTCAGCTTGTGTTTCATCGATTAATTGTTGCTCAGGAGACGGCTTTTTAGCTCCACATACAGCTCTTGTTGTCGGTTTCCGGGGAGGGGTCTTTGGTGAACATGGGGCAGGAGGTGGTGCTACTGGTGCAATAGGTTCTGGAAAAGGAGATGAAAAAAAGTGTATTTTAATACAGCAACCGAGAAGCAAAATAATCTAAGGAAATGAAATTTTCTAGATATAGAGTAAATATACGGATATGTTCTCTTGCTCTTTTAATAAGAAGTATTTGAATTTAGCAAATTATTTCTAAATGGAAAGGTCAAAACTATTTGAGTAAGCGAAAATAGTAAAAATAGAGCTCATCTGTGAATAATATGCATACTTACTCAAAAAAATATAATTTTTAATGCCCTAGGTCAGTGGCAATTCTAAAAGCTCTCACAACGATTTTAATTTAAAAAATACAAACTGTAAAAATCAGAGAAGCTTCCGAAAATTCCACAAAAAAATCTAATTGACATAATATTAAACATAAACAGCGGCAACGTTGCGGTGAGCGATCTGTTGCTGACGCCATCAAGCTAGAATCGGCTAGAAGCGACCAGCCGGACCAGCGCGTTAGTGTTCGAGAACGATCAGGATTGCTTTGAACGGGATAAATACGCACGGCGCGGCGATATTGCGCTTAGTTTAAAACTGAACGCGTAACCAACGTCCAGCGGTTGGGTTAGTAGAGAACAACAAAAAATTATATTATGGCAAGCAGTTGTAAGAAGGTAAAGACATACCACTTTTATTCGGAATGGGAAGAAAAATACTTTTTTACAGAAGTTAAAGATAAAAATGTGTGTTTGTTATGTAATACTTCGGTCTCCGTTGCTAAAAAAGGAAATATTGAGAGACATCATAAAACTGTACATTCTAATTTTGAAAAATCATTCCCACTACATTCTGCCGCCAGAAAGGAGAAACTGAAACAATTAAAAAAGCAGTTAATTGGACAACAATCAATATTTTTAAGAACAGTCGACAAAAATAAGGCTGCAACTGAAGCATCGCACCGTGTGTCCCAGATAATTGCACAAAAAAAGAAACCTTATGAAGATGGGGAAATGATAAAACAGGCGTTTTTAGAAGCTGCTGATTCGTTATTTGCCAACTTTAGAAATAAAGATGAGATAGTTTCAGCTATAAAATGATGAGACGTGTAGAAGTAATGAGCAATGATATTTTTTTACAGTTAAAAACTGACTTAGATAACTGTGTTTATTCTTCACTTCAACTGGATGAATCAACAGATGTCGTTGACACTGCCCAGATGGCCGTGTTCGTCAGGATGGTTTTTAGTGATTTTACGATTAAAGAAGATCTTTTGAAGTTTATTCCACTGAAAGGACACACTACTGGACAGGAGTTGTTTTCTCATTTAAAAAATATTATTTCTTCCGAGAAAAAATCGAAAATGGTAGGCTTGACAACCGATGGCGCTCCAGCTATGGTGGGTTGTGATAAGGGTCTGGTGGCGTTATGTCGTAAAGATGAAACTTTTCCGCAATTTCTCTGTTACCACTGCATTATCCATCAGCAAGCATTATGTGGAAATTTCCTGAAACTAAACAACGTTATGAAACTGGTGGTAAAAATTGTGAACATGATTAGAGCTCAAGCGTTACAAAGAAGATTATTCAAAACCTGGCCGATGAAGTTGACTGTCAATACGGGGACCTACTCTTTCACTCTGAAGTCCGATGGTTAAGTAGAGGACGGGTGCTGAAACGTTTTAATGATGTCCTATCTGGCATAGTTCAATTTTTCAAACAATGCGATGAACCGACTCCGGAACTAGAAAATTCAATCTGGCGTAGAGATTTTGGTTTTCTCGTGGACATTACAGAGAAATTAAACGAACTTAATTTGAAGCTTCAGGGGAGAGACAAAGAACTAGCGGAAATGATTTCTGATATAAAAGCATTTATCAAAAAGCTGGAGTTTTGGGAACAAAACCAAATTAACAGCGATGCCAAGCATTTTCCTATTCTTTCAGAAAAAATATCTTAAAATCCATTAGAACCCTATGACAGCAAATATCATGTAGAAATAGTTTCTACCCTGAAGAATAACTTCAAAAATCGTTTTAAGGATTTCAACGAAATGGCTTTAGTAGCGCAGTTTGTTGTTTCACCCTTTATGGAAATTGATATCCAACAGTTTGCAACTTGTGTTATGCAGAACTTTGGCGAAGACATCTCTGCAACAGAAATGGAAATAATTGAGTTTCAAAATGATTTAGCCTTAAAATCGTTAGTCTCAAGTACCAAATGTATCTAGCCTATTGTAAGTAAAGACAAATATTCAGTTCTATGCCGTGTTGCCTTGAAAGTGAAAGCATTATTCAGTTCAACCTATTTGTGTGAATCTTCTTTTTCCAATATGAAGTTTATTAAGAACAAATATCGCAATCGACTTACAGATGAACATTTGGATAATTGTATTCGAATGGCTGTATCAAATTATACTGCAAACATTAAAAAAATTATCGATGAGTCTAAGTGTCAGCCTTCTCATTGAACGTGGTTTTTTATTTTTCAATGTTTATGTTCATGATAGTGCTTTACTTTTTTGTTGTTATTATTAACTATTTTTAAATCTTACGTGACATGCCGTTGTGGCTGGATAAAAGTTTGTGTTTATTTTTCAAACACCTTCGTTTGGTAGGTAGGAATGTAGCTATGAACAAGTACGTACTAGTAATATTAGTTATTTTGTTATTAGTTTATTAATAGTACCTATGTATTATGTATTACCAATTAAATAGTAAAATAAATACATATAATGAAAATTAACTGTGGATGATTTAATTTACGTTGCGTTACGTGGCTTCCGTGTGGGTAGCTCGCTGTTTATTCCAAAATTAACAAAGTAGCTCAACACATTGAGAGGTTGGCGACCACTGCCCTAGGTCAAAGAAAAATATATCTAATACTTTACGTCTTGGTGGTGAAGGAAGCTTCTCTGGACTTGGAGGAAATTCTATAGTTTCTTCTTCTAAAAAAGGCATGGGTCCTACATCTTGAAACGGAAGGGTGGGAATTACCAAATTAACCGGATCTGGAAAATCTTGTTCGACGTCACGTACTTTGTGTGCAATTCTTTTCATCATTTCGGCCGTTTCTCTATCTCTGCACACATAATCAATGTAGAGCATTTCTTGTTCTAGTGGTAGTTCTTCCTGTTCTCGAAGTGGAAATCTGGGTGGTGTTTTAAAAGGTGTTATTTCATTTTGTGCCCCTAAAAGTAATTACAATAGTGAATAAACTAAGTTTTGTAAACAAAATATTTTACCCTTTTCAAGAGCTGGAATAACTTCAGATACTATGGCGTTGCCAGCTGGAGATCCTCTAGTTGGTCGTGGCATTGGCTCTCTGACTTCTTTGCCGATCTGTTCACCAAACATAGGAGAATCCGATTCGTCTTCAAAATCAAAATCTATATCTTCAGGAAGAGATGTATCTTCTATTGCAGTAGCTTCCAAAAAGAGTTTTGACATATCAGGATCTTTATCTGGACTAGATAGCGTAGTTTCTAATAGCTCATCTTCTGGGACTTTTGACCGAGAAATTATATTTAACAATCTCTCAGTAGATAGTTGCCTTCTGGGACTTACAGATGGCCTAGGAGTTGTCACTGGGATACCTGCTTGTGCAGGTAAGCTTCTAAATGTTGCTGCTTTAGTTTTATTTCTATCCTTCTCCGCACTTTTGCTATCAACAGTGTCTCTAATATATTTAACGAGAAGAGCATCTTGATTAACATCATCATCGTATTGTGATTGGTCTAAATCCAAAAATATGTCATCGTCATCTATATCAGTTGATTGATCTACCATTTGGTCGTATTCATAACCATCAGTTTCCACCATTGATATACCTTCAGCTACTTTGCCTTTCCTTACTTTAATTTCGCCCCTTTGGAAATCTTCAATAGCTCTTTCTATTTCAGTAATTTCGTCGTCTCCTTTAAATTGAACTTGCGTTTGTCCTATACGTTGTTTGGGTATCGCACCAGTCGATCGTGATAAAGGCAAATCTCTCATTGTCGTTTCTTTTACATTCAATAAATTTGAACTCCATGTGGGCGGTTTTCTTTCTCCTTCAGGTGCCTTAGGTGGTCGCACTCCCAGTGGTTTGATAAGAGGACCTTGGCTTGTCCTTCTCTTTTTTCTTTTTCTATAATTAGTTGATGAAAGTAGTTTGGTAAAAGTGACTAGAATTTTTAATTTTTTATTAATGGATATTGTTAAATTAGGATTTCTAAGACATTTAGATATGGTAAGAACTTAAAGAAATCAAAATGGTAAAATATATAATTCGGCAGAAAGATAATTAAATATATATTAAAAGTACCATGTAAAGAAGAGTATGTTATGTTATTGTTTTGTTGGGTATGGGATATTACTGCACTGCGAGCTAAAAGATCTATTGTGCCTCCTTCTGTCGCTAATGCATCAAGGAAATAGTATCAATACCTATAAAGATACTTTTAAACCTATCATCTCAAGGAAGTGTAGAATTTAGAGTGGCCTTGAGTTCTAAAGTGGCTACACATTAAGTCAGAATGTGCATGGAAGTTTCATCCTCCTCCTCACAGAATCTGCACTTACTATCTTTTATTACTCTCTTTTACTACTCTCCTCTTAGAATGCGTAGCCTGTTCTTGCTCAGGCTGATATAGGCTTCCGATCTCCCCTTGTTACATTTTCCTTGAAGTAACTTAGCCTATCACCAATAAATTGTTCTAATTATCGTTCTTCTACTGCCCAAATCTTTTTTATTATCTCCTAATATTGTGTTAATGCCTTACTGCTGTTACCGCAGAACGGCTCGGGTCCCACAAAGGGTGTTTGAGCCGCGTTCCTTGCGAGACTATCTGCAACCGCGTTACCCTTTACCCCGTTATGGCCCGAGACCCAAGTGAGAGTAACTGTATTTTATTCGCTTAGCTCATTCACTTTTTCTAGGCACCTCCAGCCCATTTTTGAGTTGATGACGTAAGAGCTCAGCGCTTTGATGGCCGCTTGGATATCGGACATAATGATAATCTGCGATAATTACTCTCGATGATGAACTAGATACACTTCTCACTGACGTAGACCTAGATATTTGACTTCTTTTTTCCATTCTATAGCTATCCCGTCTAATTTGACGGTTTTAAGATTAAGATTTCTTTTCCTTGAAAAGCCTACTAGTATTGTTTTGATGATGTTTATACTGTCCCACCTCTTGACACCATCTTTTGGTGTATTCTAGTCCTCATTGGACTATATCACACAGGATATTTCCAAACTTGCCTCAAAAAATATGACGATGTCGTTTGCATAACCTTGAGAGGGTATGCCAAGGTCTGTCAATCTCCATAGAAGTTATGGTTAGGTTCCACACTAGTGGAGATAGAACTCCTCTTTGTTGACATCTTTTGGTTGTGCAGATGGAGATGGTGTCCTGTCCTATATGTATCTGCATTGCGCGTAAATAGTAGCTGAGCCATCCATCTAGATGTAATGCTATCTAAGCCTCTGATGCAAGTGCTCTTTTTCATGTGGCGTGTTGTTAAATGCTTATTTTATGTCTAAAAAGGCACACACGACTATTTCTTTGTTTGTCAGTGCATCCTGGATTACGTCAATCAGCTGTACTAGAGCAGTTTTTATAGATCTTCCTGCTCGGTACGCATGCTGGCTGTGGTGGAGTGGCACCATCTCCAAAATTTCTGTTCTGGTGTTATTATCAACAGCCCTCTCCATTGTTTTTAATACAAAGGATATGAGGCTGATTGGTCGGAAGGATTTAGGATGTGTGGTATCCGTTTTCCCTACTTTTAGAATAAAGGTGACTCTGACCCTTCTCCATAATTCCGATACATATCCTAGTTCCAGACTAATCCCGGGATATCTGGATTATATGTGGTAGTAATTCCTCCTGTGTCCGCTAAAGCAGGGCAGAATATATTCCATCCACATCTGGAGACCTAAACGGTTCAAAAGAGTTCATGGCCATGGCCCACTTTAACCGATTGCTGCAGCAAATGTATTTGGCCACTGCAACGGCCTTTCTCGAGGGCCTGCTTACCTTACGTGTGTCCCTTATTAAAAAAGGTGTGCTCCCAGTGTGTTGCTAGTATGAGTCGAGCTCTTTTCTCCTCACTCTCCGTGAAGCTTTAATGTGGTTTCTTTAGAGCAATAGCTGTATCCACTCTGCCTTATGCCAGAGTCCTGTGCAGTCTTGCTGACGCAGATGTAGAATTAATCTTGTCGCAAAATTTCCTGAAGCTGTTACGTTTTAGCTTTCCTGATTTCTATGTTGTAAGTGGTAAGTGCCCTGTTGTAGGTCTGTCAATCTCCGCTGTACCTGGCCCTGTTATACAGTTTTCTTCACTTCGGATCGTAAGTTTGACATATGAGTGTTTCACCAAAGAACATCCCTACTAGTTCTATTTGGTTTAATGGGGCAGATTGATTCCTAAACCCCAAATATTGCCTCATTCAGTTTTTCTAGATTGCTTTCCAGAGCTAGTGGTTGTCTGGGCCCCTGTTTAGTGCTAAATTTTGTTTTAGAGTGGTCCCAGTCTATTTTTCTAGGATTCCTTCTGAGGATCATCTCAGCAGGCGTTTCGCTTTCTGATCGAAACACAATTATCTTGTGATCATATACCTAGAGATGGTTTACTCGATACTCTATAGTTTGTAACTAGATCTTTAATAAAGAAGAGTATGAAAAATATGCATAAAAGAAAAGGAGAAAAGAGTGAAAAAAAAACAGTACAAGAAGTGAAACAGACATTAGAAAATAAGTTTTGATTATCGACCCGGGTAAAATAAAAAAAATGAATTTAACTTACTTTTTATCATCTTCTTCTGTTATATCTGTTAAACTTTTGCCAGCTTTGCTTCCATCTTCTACTTGATCTACATACAAAACCAAAATTAAAATATTGATCAATTTGGCTTAATGAATTAAAGCGATAAGCACACATGTACAGAGGTATTTGATCGTATAAATATAATACAGGGTAGGTATGTGTTACGTGTCTAGTATATATACGAGTATATACCTATATATGGAATAAAAAAGCAAAAGCAAAAAAAGAATTATTTAAAAAAATTATTGAATAATTCGAAAATTTTACAATATCCATAAAATTAATATAATAAATCTAAGCTAGTAAAAACACAAAACAAACAAATAAAATAAATAAACAAATCATACGAATTAAAAAAAATACCGTTAATTTTCCATAAAATTAAAAATAAATGTAATATATTATTTGAAAGGGCTTAATTAGTAATATATTCCATTTCACTCATTCATGTTGTTTAAATATTCATAAAAAATGTTTTTAGCACTAACCTTTTACTCCAACCTGTGAAATAGCTGCAGTGAATATACCTTTAGCGCCTGAAAAAATATTTAAACATAAATTAGTAAGTAAATTAAAGGATACCATAAACTTTACATGAGTTTTTCTAAAAAAATAATTTATTGTTGGCTCAGCAAAGTGATGCATAATACATATTTTTTTATTTATTTTTTTAACGTCAGTTTATTTCCAACTACCAGTTTTATTAACCGATGCTGTTGAGAACTACGCTCTAGGGGAAGGATGGACACACAATTGATAAAACTACTAGACAAATATAATAAAAGAAAAACATTTTTTAAAGAAATTTTAAACGAAACTATTCTGTAACATTTTAGACAAGACTTAAAAACATAAAATATTGACGTTTAGCCAAAGAAATAAAAATGAATAAGAAAAAATTATTTTACCTTACCCGGAGGAAAAAATGACACAATACCAGTAGCGGCTAGTAGTAATTTAAAATAGGGGTTCAATTTTTTCCAATAATTTTAGCATTTGTAAAACTTTGTACAAGAGCCAATATCCCTCAAACCTTCTTTGTCATCGTCCGTTTTAATACAATTAAATTCCGAATTTTTTATAAGATACCTGAGTTTTGAAAAGGTCATCACAGATGATCCATTACTAGAAATGGTACAAGCGCAGAAATTACCGTTTTTATTTCATCTAAATCTCGTGATAACTACGAAGAACTTGTCAATCTAAAAAAGCAAATATGTTTCTTGTTGTTTTGGTTAGTTTTTAGAGAGGAGAAACCTAAGAGCTGCCAGTGAATCCTGAAATATGCTTTTTATACAGCGCACAAACATTTACTCTTTTAGTAAAGCAATTCTTGATTCAATTACGTGGCTATAGAAAAGCCACTATAACCACCCTGGGCATTGCAAAGCCAGGATGAAAATAAGAATCGAAAAGAATCGAAAAGAATCGAAAAGAATCGAAAAGAATCGAAAAGAATCGAAAAGAATCGAAAAGAATCGAAAAGAATCGAAAAGAATCGAAAAGAATCGAAAAGAATCGAAAAGAATCGAAAAGAATCGAAAAGAATCGAAAAGAATCGAAAAGAATCGAAAAGAATCGAAAAGAATCGAAAAGAATCGAAAAGAATCGAAAAGAATCGAAAAGAATCGAAAAGAATCGAAAAGAATCGAAAAGAATCGAAAAGAATCGAAAAGAATCGAAAAGAATCGAAAAGAATCGAAAAGAATCGAAAAGAATCGAAAAGAATCGAAAAGAATCGAAAAGAATCGAAAAGAATCGAAAAGAATCGAAAAGAATCGAAAAGAATCGAAAAGAATCGAAAAGAATCGAAAAGAATCGAAAAGAATCGAAAAGAATCGAAAAGAATCGAAAAGAATCGAAAAGAATCGAAAAGAATCGAAAAGAATCGAAAAGAATCGAAAAGAATCGAAAAGAATCGAAAAGAATCGAAAAGAATCGAAAAGAATCGAAAAGAATCGAAAAGAATCGAAAAGAATCGAAAAGAATCGAAAAGAATCGAAAAGAATCGAAAAGAATCGAAAAGAATCGAAAAGAATCGAAAAGAATCGAAAAGAATCGAAAAGAATCGAAAAGAATCGAAAAGAATCGAAAAGAATCGAAAAGAATCGAAAAGAATCGAAAAGAATTGAAAAGAATCGAAAAGAGTCGAAAAGAATCGAAAAGAATCGAAAAGAATCGAAAAGAATCGAAAAGAATCGAAAAGAATCGAAAAGAATCGAAAAGAATCGAAAAGAATCGAAAAGAATCGAAAAGAATCGAAAAGAATCGAAAAGAATCGAAAAGAATCGAAAAGAATCGAAAAGAATCGAAAAGAATCGAAAAGAATCGAAAAGAATCGAAAATAATCGAAAAGAATCGAAAAGAATCGAAAAGAATCGAAAAGAATCGAAAAGAATCGAAAAGAATCGAAAAGAATCGAAAAGAATCGAAAATAATCGAAAAGAATCGAAAAGAATCGAAAAGAATCGAAAAGAATCGAAAATAATCGAAAAGAATCGAAAAGAATCGAAAAGAATCGAAAAGAATCGAAAAGAATCGAAAAGAATCGAAAAGAATCGAAAAGAATCGAAAATAATCGAAAAGAATCGAAAAGAATCGAAAAGAATCGAAAAGAATCGAAAAGAATCGAAAAGAATCGAAAAGAATCGAAAAGAATCGAAAAGAATCGAAAAGAATCGAAAAGAATCGAAAAGAATCGAAAAGAATCGAAAAGAATCGAAAAGAATCGAAAAGAATCGAAAAGAATCGAAAAGAATCGAAAAGAATCGAAAAGAATCGAAAAGAATCGAAAAGAATCGAAAAGAATCGAAAAGAATCGAAAAGAATCGAAAAGAATCGAAAAGAATCGAAAAGAATCGAAAAGAATCGAAAAGAATCGAAAAGAATCGAAAAGAATCGAAAAGAATCGAAAAGAATCGAAAAGAATCGAAAAGAATCGAAAAGAATCGAAAAGAATCGAAAAGAATCGAAAAGAATCGAAAAGAATCGAAAAGAATCGAAAAGAATCGAAAAGAATCGAAAAAAATCGAAAAGAATCGAAAAGAATCGAAAAGAATCGAAAAGAATCGAAAAGAATCGAAAAGAATCGAAAAGAATCGAAAAGAATCGAAAAGAATCGAAAAGAATCGAAAAGAATCGAAAAGAATCGAAAAGAATCGAAAAGAATCGAAAAGAATCGAAAATAATCGAAAAGAATCGAAAAGAATCGAAAAGAATCGAAAAGAATCGAAAAGAATCGAAAAGAATCGAAAAGAATCGAAAAGAATCGAAAAGAATCGAAAAGAATCGAAAAGAATCGAAAAGAATCGAAAAGAATCGAAAAGAATCGAAAAAAATCGAAAAGAATCGAAAAGAATCGAAAAGAATCGAAAAGAATAGATCAAGAAGAATCGATTATTTTTAAGTAATCTACTAGTCGAAAATAATATTTTGATGATCGCCCGGCCCTAACGTTTTTAGCAATCCATTTTGGCAACAAAATGATTTAAATAGGAAATTTTATTTGAGTAATTGGATTTTTTATTATTAATTTATAGAAATATACTGAAATTTACCAAAAGAAAATTATCTACTAACTTCGCTTGGTCCAACGATTAGTTATTGTTAGGTTTTCAGCTATTTTGGCTATCTATTTTGGCCAAAATAGCTGAAAACCTACCAAAAAAGCAGAAATCTACCAAATGTGGCCACGTTGAATTAAAGACCCCCAGTCAGAGTGAACTTGACCAAGCACAATAACTAATCGTTGGACCAAGCGAAGTTAACTGTCGTGACGTAATCTACGTGCGATGCACAAAAAGATGCTAAAAATAGCGTGGTTTCAAGCAGGCACACTGCTGTTTTACGTATTTATTAACCTGTCTTTTTAACATTCATTCTCAGGCACCTCTCACGTTCACTAGACATATTGAACCGACAGACGCGACCGGCCTGAGCGCAGTGGGGTTCCAAAATAGTAGAGATTAATACGTACGAAAATAATAAAAATATATTAAAGTGAATTTATATTATTAAGTTATTTATATGCGAATGCACAAATGAACCAATAGAGAAACCGCCCCTGCACAATACTATTGAATATATTTAATTTTAGTCGGTAACAAAAATACACCCCAAATATGAATGAAACTGCTCATATAATAATAAAAAAAATAAAAGTGATTTTGTTTTTCTATTTTATTTTACCTTAAAGAGTATTTCTTAACAATTTTCAATATTTTATTTTGAAAATTTTTAAAAAATTGCTCTATAAAAGCAGAGCTGAATTCGAGAATACTGATAAGCAATAGCTTGGTGTTTTTAGTGTACTGTTTTGTTATGCGCATGTGCGAAAATAAGTTATGTATCATTCAAAATCGTGTTGTCGGTCCAAGTCAGTCCAAGTAGTGTTTAGTACGTGAGCAATGTTAAGTGATATTTTTTGGTGATGAAGATTTTTTACAACTTTTTGTATTCTAATACAGATACAAAATGTGCCAAAAAAGTTATTAGGAAACTAAGAATTTTATCAGATATACAGGGTGTTTTAGATTTAAACGGACATAGCTTAATGGGAGCTGAGTTCAAAACACCCCTATACTTAGCCTTTAATCTTACGCGTTTCTGAGATATAGGGTGTTTTATGACTTTTTGCTAATACCCATCTATATACACTTCATTTTTTATATAATTGGTCATTAAAAATTGACAAATTGAATCTATTGCATTTCATTCTATCAGCGGAAGTTTGAAATCTTATTCTATTATAATCACATCTAGTAAAAAGTTTTTAAGTGGCTTCTTGGTCGAGATCGTCTAGCGGTTGAAAGCGTAGAACGATAATGGACGTGTCTTGAGTTCAATACCTGATCAGGTCAAGCGATCTTTAATTAAAAAAAAAAAAATAAATGGTGTATAACGGGTTGCGAAAAGAATAAATAAATTATTAATCATACAAAATAGTGTGTAAAATTGCATTTAGAATGGACGTCCAATGGACCGATTTGTGTTGTCTGGGTGATAGCCAGGCCAGGTATTCAACTCTTAATACATAAACTTTAAATGACATCCGGCTTATCTTTGTTTCCACAGAACTTTATAATATCAATCCAAAAATTCTAAAAATATATAAGTACTTTTTAAACCTAAAAGCTTTGCAAATATATGCAAATATTTAGTTAAACTCTCAGACTTAATGTCTTTTTAGCTCTTACTTAAATTTTTTTGGTACCCTTAATTTTATTTAACCTATTTTTACGTAAGAAAAATGTAATTTAATTTAAATATGGGGCTTTTATTTCATCGCACATAAACAAGGCGTGACGTCACAAAGTAGGGCATGGCATAGAACCTTTCCAGTCATTGAGATAGAATAAAGAGGAGATACGATGACGATACTAAAAGTATCCACATTTTTGCATTACACTTTTACGTCATATGTCAAAGTCGAGCTTGCGGAGCTAATCAGATTTGGTGAGAATAAATGTCATTTTTTTTTAAATAGAGTGATTTATATGACAAAAATATTTTCATGCCGTTAAACTTCAAATATAAAATTATTAACTTCAAATTAAGCAAAATAATTATTTATTTTCGATTACTTAAAAATATTCTATTCTTTTCGATTAATCGATTATTTTGGAATAATCGATAATTTTTGATCAATAGATTGTTTATCGACTATATATCACTAGAGTACAGCAAGTTAGTTAATAATTGTAGTGTTTGAAAACAGTATGATATTGATAATAATAACTACACTTAATACAAACCCAAATAAAAAAAAGTAATATTGGCGCTTGTATAAAGTTTTGAATCGAACTTATAAATGTTAAAATGATTGGGAAACCCCCATTTTAAATTACCATAAGCAGCCACTGATCTTGATAGCAATTATATCATCAAAAGCAGGATGGTCTGATAAAAAGCTTTCAAAAAATGCAAATTGTTTATGGTTGTCCAAAAACTTATTGGTTTTAAATGTCCATGACAATTAAATGACTGACTTTAATTAAAATTCTTTAAAAACCATTTAATTCGAAATAAGTAAAGTTGAACTCAATAGTATACTTACCTTTGGGAATTATCACTTTATCAGCCTTGTTCCAAGTGGTGATGGGATTTTTAGAAATGGCATAATAACAATGAACCCCAAAACCTGGTATATCCTGAGCAGCGACATATTCTCTCAAATCCGCTGAAAAATCGGTAGTGTAGGGAGGAAAATCACCAATTCCAGAAATTTGATTGCATATGTTGTTAATTCTGTCTTTTTGTTCCTTTTCGATAAGCATTTTTGCCATTGCATTAAGCTTTACATAAAATAGAATCAGTTAAATAGCAAAACATTTTATTTGATACTTAAACAAGGAAAAATGTAAAAATCTAAGTATGATCCTAGAAATTGTAAAAGAATATATATAAAACTTTGATAAAACATAGTCTGCATCAGAACAATTGATTATACGGAATATAAAACGAAGTTTTTATAAAAATAATGACATTACATCCGGACACTTTAGTTAACGGAGAAAGTGGTCAATAGACGTCCACTGGACTTCGAAATACTACTAAACTTAACCCTTAACTGGAGTTGTGAGGTCAACATGACCCCAATCACATTTTAAATCTATGTAGAATTGGCAAATTTAAAATTTAGGCCTTGCCGCTTGATCTACCTTTAAGTGGGTGTGCCTACAAGAGACTGCGAGACGCTCGCTCGTTTTCGCTCAGTATCGTAGACGACATTCTGTTGGGGTCAGCGAAGCACCACGACGCAAGTAGGGTTACATTTTTGAAATGGCACGCGATCCCAAAAGCGTGCCTTGGGGTGATCCTCATTATGAGGAAACTTTACGGAAATGGTTTGATGAAGCTGAAAGTGAATTAAGTGATTATAAGGATCACAAAGACAGCGATTTTTCACCAGAAAGTGATCACGACTCTGAGTCTGAAATAGAGGAACATGTGGAAACTGAAAAACCGACAAGCGATGAGAGCAGCCATGGGGAAGAGAGTACGGAAACAACGAATCGCAAGTTTTATTATGGTAAAAATCGATACAAGTGGTCAACTCTTCCCGCCTACCCAAATTTGAATATACCAACTAAAAAGCAAAACTTGGTCAAAGTTCTTCCGGACTTGAAGGGTCCTGCAAAGTGTGGTGACGCCGCTGATCCGTTAAAAATTCGATAGTCCTGACTGAACAGAGCTGCGAGAGCTGACTAAAGAAGAATTTAGAGCATTTCTTGCTGTTTTGTATTACTCTGCAGTTTTCAAGTCAAATGATGAAGATTTTCAAGAGATATTTGCAACAGATGGAAATGGACGATATATATTCAGATGCATCATATCCTTGAAGAGGGTATATGTGTTGCTTGCCTTTCTAAGGTTTGTTGACTAAATCAAAATATGTAGTAGTAGTATTTTTTCCAAAATGTATAAACATTTACAATAGAGCTTAAAAGGTCCCTTTCTTTTGTTACAGGTTTGACAATGCACAGGACAGAGAAAAACGCAAAATTAATGATCGAACTGCAGCAGTATCGTGGATATTTGAACATTTTGTTCAGAATTGCCAGAGCTTTTATTCAATGCGAGAGCTAGTATGTATCGACGAACAGTTGATAGGGTTTTGCGGCAGATGTAGGTTCCGTATATGTATATTCCAAATAAACCTCGAAAATTCGGTATTAAACTGATGGCTCTAACTGACGCACACTCTATTTCTATAATGGGTATATTTACAGCGGCAAGGATAGTGATGGTTTTTCTCTAACAAATAAAGAGAAACGTTTATTGAAACCAACAGAGTCTGTGTTGAGGCTCTCTGGTTCAATTGCAAATGTCATAGCTGACAATTGGTTCTCGTCAATTGAAGTCATAAATGAACTGAAAACAAGTATTAGAAATTAAAAATTTAAAAAAACCGACTTTAAAAACGTGCAGATGCCATCACCACATCTTAACCAAATTTATATGGGACCACCCCTGAAGTACCCCCTTTCTAACAAAAAAAGAATCATTAAAACCGGACACCGTGTTAAAGAATAATCGCTGAACATACATAAAAAAAAATATCGCGACGAATTGATAACCTCCTCCTTTTTTGAAGTCGGTTAAAAAAGGGGGCTTACCTATGGTACTCTAAAAATAAAATAAAAAGAAGATAGCTAAAGAGTTTCTTTCAAACGCGGAAAGAACAGAGGGATCTTCAATGTATGGTTTTACCAACGACTACACGCTTGTTTCCCCCGTTCCAAAGGAAGCGAAAGCAAAAATGTCATGCAGCAAATGTGGCCGAGCCATGTGTCGTGACCGCAGGTCATATGTTTGCAACATTTGCATTTAAAAAATCATATACTTTACTGTTTGTAAGTTTTTTTGAAAGATTTTGATATGATTACCAAAAAAACAAAAATTACATTATTATTTATTTTTTTAGCTTTTCTTGTCATAAATATAAAAAATCTGATGTGTCCAACACATGACTTTCCTATCTAGTTATATAAATGTTTAGAGGATAAACTAAATATATACATTGTCCACATACATCTACCTCGAAACATTTTTCTATAGATATCCATGGAAAACGAAAATACTGAAAAATTTTAATTTCCTACAATTTTTTTCATTACGGTCCATTTTAGAAAAATCATGTATAAACAAAAATTATAGAGATCGATATCGCATACAACTTTTATTTCAAAAACTTTCATAATAAAAATCAGAATTTTGCACATTTTGTCAAATTTCTCGAATACGGACCATTTCAGGAAATTTTTACATAAAACAAAAATTACAGATAATAATATTAGAAGTAAATTTTTTTGAACAATTTTCCTCTCCAAACATAAATAACAGATATATTTCATAAAATATAAAAACGGCCTCCCATAAAGTACCCCCCCCCCCCCCAGATGTTCCGACTTTGTCCAAAATCTAATCATTTCACGTCAGGCCGAAATAAACCTTAAGTTTAAAATTTAATGTTTTTTTCTTTATCCGTTTTTGAGTTTTCTTCAAAATTCGAAATTTACACATTTTCTCAAATATCTCGAATACGGTCCATTTTAGAGAAATTATGTAGAGAATAAAAATTATAGAGAATTATATTACAAACAACTTTTATTTGAACAATTTTAATAAAAAAATATTTTTTTTACATTTTGTCAAATTTCTCGAATACGGACCATTTTAGGAAAATTTTGTATAGAACAAAAATTATAGATAATAATATTAGAAGTAACTTTTATTTAAAGAATTTTCTTCTCCAAACGTAAATAACAGATATATTCCATAAAATATAAAAATGACCACCTATAAAGTACCCCCCCAAATGTTCCGACTCTGCCCAAAATCTAATCAGCTCATTAGACGCTGAAACAAAGCTTAAGTTTAAAATTTGGTGTTTTTCTGTGTATCGGTTCATGAGTTATGCGTTATACACACACACACACACACACACACACACACACACACACACACACACACACACACACACACACACACACACACACACACACACACACACACACACACACACACACACACACACACACACACACACACACACACACACACACACACACACACACACACACACACACACACACACACACACACACACACACACACACACACACACACACACACACACACACACACACACACACACACACACACACACACACACACACACACACACACACACACACACACACACACACACACACACACACACACACACACACACACACACACACACACACACACACACACACACACACACACACACACACACACACACACACACACACACACACACACACACACACACACACACACACACACACACACACACACACACACACACACACACACACACACACACACACACACACACACACACACACACACACACACACACACACACACACACACACACACACACACACACACACACACACACACACACACACACACACACACACACACACACACACACACACACACACACACACACACACACACACACACACACACACACACACACACACACACACACACACACACACACACACACACACACACACACACACACACACACACACACACACACACACACACACACACACACACACACACACACACACACACACACACACACACACACACACACACACACACACACACACACACACACACACACACACACACACACACACACACACACACACACACACACACACACACACACACACACACACACACACACACACACACACACACACACACACACACACACACACACACACACACACACACACACACACACACACACACACACACACACACACACACACACACACACACACACACACACACACACACACACACACACACACACACACACACACACACACACACACACACACACACACACACACACACACACACACACACACACACACACACACACACACACACACACACACACACACACACACACACACACACACACACACACACACACACACACACACACACACACACACACACACACACACACACACACACACACACACACACACACACAGACACACACACACACACAGACATCATCGCGAAAATAGTCAAAACGGATTCAGGGGACCTCAAAACGTAAAAATCCGTCGAAAACTCGAGGTCGAAAAAAATCATGATTCCTATACTTTCCTTATATCTGTAAACAGATAGGAAAGTAAAAATATTGAAAATGGGTAGTAAATATTTTTGACATATCATAAACCATAGAAAACAAAAGAAAAATATATAACTGTTACCATACCTGTAAAAACATAAAAAAATTGGGGTCCGTCTGACCCCACGATACAGTTAACGTTGTTGAAAACCACACGCCAGTTGAGGGTTAAAGTTAAGTCCAAAAACAGTCGACCTCTGGGTATCGATATGCAGCTGTCAAATTAATGATAAGAGGGCACAGATACAGTAAATTTATATTGACACCAAACCCACGCATTACTGATGATATTACAGCTGAAGCACCTTTATTTGGTGGAATTACACAATGATTCCACTACATGTAGAGGAAGACACCTTTTACCATTTTACCTTCGAATGCGAAGAACTATGCAGCGACATGCCCTTTTCGGTCTAAAACTAGAAACACTTGGTAGGGAACCTAGTAAAAGTAACTAAAGACACAGGACTATTTGGAGTATCTGAATACAGAGAAAGAAAAGGAATACAATGTACCGAAGAGGTCACAGTATTCTGGTTCAAATCTAACCATACCTGTTAATAACCGACAATGATAAAGAAAAAATAATACATCGTGTTTTAGTCTTTTCTTCATGGATTATAACACATTTGTTCAATGGGTTCTTATTATTTAGTGATATATAAAGTTGATAAGTAGGTACTTACGTCATAACCTTGAGGAAATTCACTTAGAGTCTCATAATTTGAGGGGTCATCTGTAAATATCCCTACTAATTTTTTTCTTTGCATTGCAAACAATAATAACTTCATATAATCTGTCCGTATTTTTTCAGATCCCGCTGTCTCTTCTCTGATTTTTTTGACCCATGCTGACGCCAGTATTCTATCTAAAAATAATAATAATAATAAAAATAGTGTTTGTATGCGCTATAGGTATGTAAATTTTTTCAACGACTGAATGCAAATTAAAATTTACACATTGTTACCACAATGAATGAAGAGTGAAATGAGTATTTTTCAACAATTTTCTTCTGATGACAGGCTCATAAGCCTATTCATTACTTGCAATATTTTCAGTCTTTTTTAATTTTACAGTATTGCTCTGTTCAGAACGAAGGTCATTTATTTAAAAAGTAGTCAGTAACTCCTTAAGATTGGCAGTTCTAGCAGGGTTGCCTGGCTATCAGGTTCAATGAAAATTTGCTGGTAATAACGAAAATAATTTCATAGACACCGATTCGATTTAATTTTGTTAAAAAAAATATAGACAATTATTAGATTTATCTAATCAAATCTTAGCATTATTCTTGTACATTTTTTAATTTATACATGTTTTAAGATAAGATACCTGTGTTTGTAAGATACCTGTGGCGTCTGGCAAAGCAAAAATTAAAGGTCTTGCAAATTTTGAATAAAATTCCAATTCATTTTTAATCAATTCCATAATAGAATGCTAGAGTTGTGGCATATTTTGGAAACCTAACAAGAATTTAATTGCTTTGTAGAAAACATTGTATTTTTAAAACGGTAACCTTATCTGATAAAATGTATTCATGTCATTGTCAATTTTGATTAAAAAGTGATTAAAAAGCATAAGTAACAAATTTTGTGCTGGATATGGAGTCATGAAATGTAAAGGTAAGAACAACTATCTCTGTGTACAAATAGTGTAATCTCTGTAGTGTCCCTCAAAATGTATAAAATTAGGATAGCGCTTCTGTACCAGAGGGACGCCGACAGTCGTTAATTCAGATCCACATACTTTGATTTTCTTTTACTATACGGAGAATGGTCACACTGCGCAGCTTTGAGGTTAAATCAACTCATACTGGTTATTTTAAACCTAACCTCTAAATAGTAACTTTACCCTTGTGTAATATTCGGCGAGATATGCGTCAGTTAGCATAATAGATAATAATACGTTCTACTTACGGTTTCTCTTCCATTTTATATATTTTTGGCGCTTACAAAGTTTTCACATAAAGCCAAAAAATCATCAGTAAGTTACAACTCGCCACACCCAAATAAATGTGAAGTGAAAACTATACGACCCACGCATGTTGTGTAACATTTTTTCCGACAGATATACCAACATTGTGAAATTAATCGAATCGGACAGTCCATAAACATCGTAGTGCCGGCCCGGCAAACATGATGTAATTTAAAATGTTATTGTTCGCTCAGGTAAAAAAATGTGCTTAAAAAGCGCTCGAGAAAAGTATGATTGAAATAACATTAATTTACACCTAATATGCAGTAAAAAAGTGCCAATGATTGTAAATATGGCCCTAAACGTTAAACTAAATTTCTTATTATGCAATGATTAAATGCCGTATTTTTGTACCATAATTTTAATCATTGGCCGACGAGTTTCCGTAATATCAGTGTCTGCTGGGTGTCAATTTGAACATTTGCTGCAAATGTAGTTTCAATTTTATAAATAATAATATAGATTACCTATATCCAAATATAGTTAGTACATGTATACTGGACTTTGATATGGCTATTTGAATGAAGATGGCTTGACTCTGAAGGTAGTAAGGCACTTTCATGTATGGTTCGAATAGTCACTTTATCTTCAGATGAGATTAGAGTTGCTACTTCAACTGATACTAAATTAAAATGTTTGTGGTATTGACAGAGTCGGTCGTGCATATGCATTATGAGACTTGTCATCCATATAAATATAGCCCGAAGAACCTAACCTAATCCCTGGAAGGTCACTTACGATCCCACATACTTTGATTTGTACGATCCTCATACATGACATGCAAAGCCGAAGCAGTTTTTAAGGTCTAAGCTGAAATTTTAATCTTTTTGTTTTATTTATTTTCTTTAAAAATATTGCAAGAATTTTTAAAATTGAGAAGAGGGTAGTTAAAAACCTTTGCTGCAGTGAATTCAAATCACATTGTTAAGATTCATTATATTAACTTAAAATAATGACTACCAAACATTTTTACTTTCCTATCTGTATACAGATATAAGGAAAGTATAGGAATCATGATTTTTTTCGACCTCGAGTTTTCGACGGATTTTTACGTTTTGAGGTCCCCTGAATCCGTTTTGACTATTTTCGCGATGATGTCTCTGTGTGTGTGTGTGTGTGTGTGTGTGTGTGTGTGTGTGTGTGTGTGTGTGTGTGTGTGTGTGTGTGTGTGTGTGTGTGTGTGTGTGTGTGTGTGTGTGTGTGTGTGTGTGTGTGTGTGTGTGTGTGTGTGTGTGTGTGTGTGTGTGTGTGTGTGTGTGTGTGTGTGTGTGTGTGTGTGTGTGTGTGTGTGTGTGTGTGTGTGTGTGTGTGTGTGTGTGTGTGTGTGTGTGTGTGTGTGTGTGTGTGTGTGTGTGTGTGTGTGTGTGTGTGTGTGTGTGTGTGTGTGTGTGTGTGTGTGTGTGTGTGTGTGTGTGTGTGTGTGTGTGTGTGTGTGTGTGTGTGTGTGTGTGTGGGTGCGTGTGTGTGTGTGTGTGTGTGTGTGTGTGTGTGTGTGTGTGTGTGTGTGTGTGTGTGTGTGTGTGTGTGTGTGTGTGTGTGTGTGTGTGTGTGTGTGTGTGTGTGTGTGTGTGTGTGTGTGTGTGTGTGTGTGTGTGTGTGTGTGTGTGTGTGTGTGTGTGTGTGTGCGTGTGTGTGTGTGTGTGTGTGTGTGTGTGTGTGTGTGTGTGTGTGTGTGTGTGTGTGTGTGTGTGTGTGTGTGTGTGTTTGTATAACGCATAACTCATGAACCGATACACAGAAAAACACCAAATTTTAAACTTAAGCTTTGTTTCAGCGTCCAATGAGCTGATTAGATTTTCGGAACATCTGGGGGGTACTTTATAGGTGGTCATTTTTATATTTTATGGAATATATCTGTTATTTACGTTTGGAGAAGAAAATTCTTTAAATAAAAGTTACTTCTAATATAATTATCTATAATTTTTGTTAAATGCAAAATTTTCCTCAAATGGTCCGTATTCGAGAAATTTGACAAAATGTAAAAAAAATAATTTTTTATAAAAATTGTTCAAATAAAAGTTGTTTGTAATATAATTCTCTATAATTTTTGTCCTATACATAATTTCTCTAAAATGGACCGTATTCGAGATATTTGAGAAAATGTGTAAATTTCGAAATTTGAAGAAAACTCAAAAACGGATAAAGGAAAAAACATTAAATTTTAAACTTAAGGTTTATTTTGGCCTGACGTGAAATGATTAGATTTTGGACAAAGTCGGAACATCTAGGGGGGTACTTTATGGGAGGCCGTTTTTATATTTTATGGAATATATCTGTTATTTATGTTTGGAGAAGAAAATTGTTCAAATAAAAGTTACTTCTAATAGTATTATCTATAATTTTTGCCTTATGTCAAAATTTCCTGAAATGGTCCGTATTCGAGAAATTTGACAAAATGTGCCAAATTCTGATTTTTATGAAAATTGTTGAACTAAAAGTTGTTTGCGATATCGATTTCTATAATTTTTGTTTATACATGATTTTTCTAAAATGGACCGTAATGGAAAAGTGCTAAATTTAAATTTTTCAGTATTGTCGTTTTCAAGGAATATCTATAGAAAAATGTTTCAAGGTAGATGTATGTGTAAAATGTATATATTTAGTTTATCCTCTAAACATTTATAGAGATGCTGCAATAGGTTGTACAAAATAACCGGAAAATGCCTATAATAACTAGATAGGAAAGTCATGTGTTGGACCCATCAGATTTTTATTTCCAGTGTTTGATCTTTAACAAAGAAAACGAGTTGGAACTGAAGACACACCTGAATATTATTTATAATACTAGACAAACACGACGGTTATTCAAAGTTCCTTATCATCGACTTAACAAAACAATTATTACCTTTATCTCTTTTAAATTGTTTAATCATTTACCGCAACATATAAAACCACTGCAAATTTTTGAAAAATTCTTAAATAAATTCAACCTTTAACTTAAAATAGGAGTAGTAGGTGGCAATTATACAGAGTGGACCTTTGAAAACTTACAATGGCTATATTTTTTTATTAAACAGATTTGAAAAAAATAAAAAATATCATTTCTTTAGAAACCAGGGGGATTACAAATGACATATTTTTCAAACTACCCCATCACCCCCTTAAGCTCAATCCATACTGACTTGTGATACCTCTTTAGAAAGCTTATTAAACATTCTTTTCACAGTGAATTCAAAAACTAACCTCAAATTCAAAAAAACTTTTATTTGATCAGAAACAAATTAACAATAGAAAAAATTATAAAATAAAGGTTCAAAATAAAGGTCATTTTGTTCGAGACAGAAGTAAAGGCTATTTTCAAATTCTGGTCTAACGTTTTGAAAAATTTCTCTTGAAATATTTTGACACGCTTCTGTTATCCTTTGGCGCAATTCATTCAAGGAAGCTGGCTGAGTTTTATATACTAAAGATTTAATGTAACCCTAAAGAAAAAAGTTTATTGGAGTAAGGTCGAGAGACCTTGGCGGCCACTCAATTGGACCCCTTCTACCAATCCAATATCGTGGATAAACCTATCCTGCTACTGTCTTGTAGCAAAAATTTAATGAAGAGGGGCTCCGTCCTGTTAAAAATACACAATGTTCTGATTCATATTTAAATTTTCTCCTAAAGTCCTTTGATTTTCAATTTCATGGACAATTGATGGCTCTATCGAATTGTTTTGCATAAATACATAAACCTCGTCAGTTAAATTACCCTCAATAAAAAATTGATATATTCTTGGGTTTTCTAATATTCCCGCCCAAAAAAAAGCTCATTCATCATTAAAACAAATGTTTTCAGTCAGTGTTGAATTTTGACCGTCATTGTTCCGCAAAACTGAATTCGTCTGTCGGGCTCATCTACATCAAGTTTTTGCAAAATTTTAATTTTTACAGATAAAATTTAATACTGTTCTGACAGATGTTCGCGATATACCCGTTATTAATGCCAACTGCCGTGTGAATACCTCAGGATATTAGCAACCTGACCAAGAACTTGTACTTGCATTTCTTCGTCCAAAATTTTGGGGCATTGTCTTTTTTTATTTGCAAGAGATCCTGTTTCTTCGGATTTTCCAATTAAATCTCTCACATAAACATGACTAACGTTTCTGCCAGGATATCTTTCATTAAATAGCACATTTCTTGCGCACGATAAAGAAAAATAATTTTAATTCTTTCGTCAATGCTATAAACCATTTTTTAAAACGATGAAAGATAACTAACTGGCAACTACAAGTAAATGATTAACACACTGACAATAAAAGCAAGCCTACTTTCTCACTTATTTTTTTTACATTTACAGTTACTATCTTCCATCTGATTCTTTGTTAATTTTTAAAAATATCTTATAGCGTGGAACAAAGAATTGAAATTATTGAAAAATCATCCGACATTAGGATTTTCCCAGGTTTTACAACGATACAACGACATATATCATTTTATTGATATCTCTCTTCGTTAAAAAAATGAGAGGCATTGTACGTTTTCCAAGACTTACCTTAACATTTGAGGTTAGTTTTTGAGATCACCCTACTTTTTTATGGCCAGT